CAATTTGTTCTCTATATGCGCCTTCAAATGGCTCTCGAATTGATCGACCCACACAATCAATTTAAGAATTACATAGAAATATATACGTTTATATTTTTCGCCGTTTCATGCTTCCTTACGGAGGACATTCCCCCTCCGGGTTCCGTTATTTGCAGATGTTTTCTGCCAGCCGTCATAGGGAGGACGAGGGAAATAAGATTGTGGAGTTTGAAACAGTCACGTGTTCACGTGATATGTGGCTGAAGGGATGTGGCTGAAAGGATCCCCTGGTGGGATGAAGTCCCTCTCCTCCCGAAGATCGGATGGGCAGGAGCCTGGATTCAGGAGCACTGCAGGAAGTTTCCATGACGCCAGGTAGTTTACCCTGTCACTGAGCGCGGTAAGTGCGGATTACGAGCTGATGATCAACCAGCTCTGAAACTCCGAGTCTTTGTTCCCGACGATCATCTGGGCTGTGAAGTTGTTGGTGAAATGAAGAGGCTGAAGTACTGAACCTCCGCGAAGACGAGACGTGAATCAAGCACAGGCAGGCCGAGGCAATGCAGCAGATACACTTTAAACCCACACGCGAACAAGACTGACTGATGTAAGTCTCCATGCGGCACTAGCGACCGGGCGAAGGAAATACAATACGCACGAAGCTTTCCCGTATAAATCCCTATCCGCTGCTCGACCTTCTGCACGGACATCCCCTCTTGCGTATCCGCCTGCACGAGTATGTCAAATAGCCCTACATCCGCTGCGATATGCGGCGGGTGGGCATGTATGCGGTGGTTACCTCCGAGAGGTGTTGGAGCGAATGCAGGACGAGCGCGACGCACATTCCGCACGCACCGACAAGCGTGTGCTGGGGGCTGGATCCATCCACCCTGAAACGCATCGTCTCGTGGCTTAAAGATGTCTCACAAAGCAGAAACGCCAGCCATCGGAATCCGGACAAGCGAGTGGAGCTACGACTTGTGCGCTTGTGCTGTCTCTTCAACTCCAGCCAATGAGGGGCCATTATTCGGACAGATCCTCAGTTTACGAGTAAACACTCGAATATATGCACCAACCTGAAGCATCATGAACGAGCACTGTGGAAGCACAATTGCGTATTCAACGAAGCATAATCATATCGATGATCGTACATATACATAAAAGTAGGCGTGCCATACAAGAGATAACAAAAGCATGGATCAGAGTCGTCGAACAGGGCCTAGGGTCGTTTGCAAAGCCCTTGTCTTGTCCCCATTTTCTCTGCGCGGAGTGCTTGCCAACTGTGCCGACTGTGTGGCTACATTTCCAGTCCCTTCACTGGTATCTGGAGAAGATACTGCTAGCATAATTGCCTTGGCGAGCGCAGGAAGCGGCCCAAAGGCCTCCAATTTCCAGCCGCCGTTCGGGCTTTGACGTAACGAGGCAGTCATGGCAATTTTATCAAGTACCCTGGGCGCAAATGTGAAGACTTGTTCCGGAACATTGGACACATCTGCCAGCTTCTCAAGCTCGATCTCTCCAGCGATCTCGGTGACCGTCGACTCGGTCCGCGAGAGACTGGATGGCATTCCCGTCGTGCCGGAGTAGATGATCTCGGTGGCCTCCCGCCTGAGTGGTTTGGGATGCTGCTGATAGTTCACAGGCGCATTTCTTCCATTCGTAGCTGGGATATGAATTCTCTGCACATTTCGGCGGAGAGGCCGCGGCCCAACAGTTTGAGGTGCGTTGTCTATGACGTCGCCTCGATCATGATCGTCTGCCTGGGATGAGAATACGGTCGGTGTAGTCTCACGAGAGGAGCCACTGACTTCCGTCTCCGTCTCCGTCCTCTGTCCAGAGCCGGGCGAGAAAGAGCCCGTGATGCCATACCAACTTTCCGCCACAGACTGATTGTCCTGGCTGTCGTCGTTCATCGACGAGTCCTCGTCCATAGAATCTTCGTCGTTTTTTTCCGCCAGGTAGGCCAGCACCTGCGCAAACTCGGGGGGAGGTGGTGGAAATTGTGGGAGTGGCGTATCGACTTCGTCTCCGTATTGCCAGATTACATGGAAGCCCTGCCAATTGGGTGTCGGCATTACGATCGCACGCTCGCGCGTCTCGACGACTGCGGGCCGGATCGACGAGGAACTGCCAGCTCGAGCAACAGGCGTTCTGCTCCGAGCGCGGCCCTGCGCTCGGAGGTTCTTCTTCCGGGCTGCAGATCGCGTATTGTACGTCATGCTTTTCTGCCACACAAAGGTCAGTATGCGTCTGTGATGTGGGCGTGAGCAACACGTACAGTCTAATTCTAGCGATTTGCAGTTCGGAGAGGCAAACAACAGGGAAGGGGGCGAACACTGTCGATGCGAGGCTTGCAACGGTCCTATGTTCGTTCGTGCCGTCGGCTAAATACGATTCTGTCTGCCCTACCTGTGGCTGTGTTCCAGCGATACCGAAGTGCTTGGGCCACATCGGCTCATGCTCTTCATTCACCAAAGCGAGAGGACAAAGCGTTGTTTAGGCGCTCGTGTGGCCCTCAATGCTGGATTCAGTGAAGCCACGCTCGGTTCGACCACGTTTGTGGCGCAACGATGGATGCGCTCATAATTAATTTTGATACTGATCCACCTTGAGGAGGCATGACAACATTATGCGTTACGTACTTATAATGTTATTGTGCACCCTCAAGGCGAGCCTTGGCAATTTTCTGCCACAGCTACTCACGGCGCTACTGGTCCCAAGAACCGCCATCCCGATTGTGGTTATGGCCAGCCGGATCTTTTGCTTAGCATCGTTGGACCTGTGGAAAGGGCTCTTCTGAAGGCGCAAAGCCACTTGGACAAGGGCAAGCGTGCTACTTGACGATGCGCAATGTAGTGGAACCGGATGGAGGATACTATGGCTCGAGTGCTTTGCGCGCAGATTCCTCATGCTGGAATCTTCTTTGGAAAATTGCATTGTATAGATGGTCACAAACGCTTCGGCCTCGCCCGCTATCGTTCCGCTGGATAAATTGCAAGCATCGTAGCGTCCCTCGTTCATCTTGGTCCTCAATCTCCCAGCCAAGAGCACCAGCAAAATCCGGTGTTCCAAATTAGATAACGCATCTCCGATATCTTTCCTTTCAGAGGTATGCACATAATATCATGCAGACGTCGCTCGTGTTCCTGATGTACAGACGTTTCCAGAGAAAGCTTGCGAGAAGGCGCTTTCTGTAGAATTGCTGCAGCATCCTCGTCTTCGGTCCCTTCTTGAATCTTGTCTTTATGCCATAGTCGAGCTGTGCTCTCATGTTTCATCCGTATTGCCGACCACCACAGTGGTCTCATTCTCTGGGCCCCGGTGGCCGTTTAACCCAGCTCCACGGAAATTTGCCACAGTCACCCTTCGGCCCACTGAGGAACACATGGGCACCAGCTCTTCACTCCGGACAACACTCTTCCTCGGGGCAGGCTCAGCCCGGATTGTTCAACACACCACACGACCCTTTCAGTCCACGTTCTAGCCAGCCACGACAGGGGTCCGACCGTCCTACCTTTGATCGGTCAATTTTCACGTCATCCAATGCGAGAATGCGAGACGCATGGATGGGCACTCCTTGGCAGGATAGACCGTCCGCAGCGGGGCCCACTCGCCGCAGAAACAAGGCTCGGATCAGCAAACCTCTGCGCAGGCACGAAACCGTGGTTGTGAAACTCGTTGACGACGTCGACCCAGCTTTGGTCGAAGGCGATGATGGGCACTGGTTTTGCGACACGCATGTGCCCTTGGACGAAATATCCTTCAATGGGCGACTCTCACTTGAGGACAAGATTGTCGTGCGCGAGATGAGCAGGCAGCGGCTGGAAAAGGGCGTTCGCGACGCCATGGCGGAACAAGACGCTGCGATGGAGCGCAATGCCACACACCAGGCAGAGTCGGCGAAGCGATGGGCGGAACGCGATGCGAAGCTCGAGGAACGTGAACGCCAGAAGGAGGCAGAGAGGCTGCGGGCGGAAGAGCTTCGCAGGCAACGCGAAGTTGCTGAAATCGACCGGCTACACAAGGAGCGTATTGCAAGGGAGCAGGCCAAGCGCGAGGAAGAGAAACTCAGAGAGGCCGCCAGGCGTGAGGAAGAGAAACGCAGGGAGGCCGCCAGACGTCGATTAGAAGAGGAACGTAGAGCAGCGAGAGAAGCGAAGAGGCAGGCCGACGAGAGGGAAAGACAGCGTCAAGAGAAGGCACGCCAGGAAGCCCAGCGGGAGGCGCAACAACGAGAGAACGAATTACGGAGGCTGCAAGAGGAGGCGCGCAACCAGCAAGCCGCATTCGATTCGCGCGTCAAGGAATTCTCCAAGATATATGAAGAAAAATGGAAGTGTCTTCGGAGTAACGTGCCCCTTCCGGAACTGGTGTCGTTCAATCAATTTCCCTGGCCTTTCCTCGACGACGTCCAGGACTTGACGGATATCACCGAGGAACGTATCGGGTTATTTATCTTTCATCCTTTGCGCGAAGAAATGAATGGTAAGACTGTCAAGGAACGCATCAGAGCAGAGTTCTTGAAGTGGCATCCGGACAAATTAGAGCGCATTGTGTTGAACAAAGTACGTCCTGGCGATCATAAAGATGTGTTGGAGATAGGGCGTATTATCATCGAACATTTGGTCGAGATGTCAGGGAAAGCATAGCCAGCGAAGGATAATAGGATGTATGGCGTCGAACAATATCTTATATGCCTTTCGTCCTTGTTACTTGTAACATATATGTGCATTGAATAGATGAGGTTATTAATGACAATTCTCCATGCAGCACTCTTTTTGACAACTACTCTGCTTACACAAGTCACTGCTTCGAAAGAAGACATTAGCACGTGTGCACATTATGCATGCTGCAACTTGCCAGTAGTACTCATGTTGGATCGGACACTGCAACTGCACTTGTATACAGAGCTTAGAAAGAAAGCCAACCATGAAAGCTTTCCTAATCCTGTCGCATGAACCATGCCAGATGCACACAGGCGCTGCGTTCGTACTTCCAGCAAACTCAAAATCGATGTGCCACCCTTGGGAAAGCACAATGGAGTTTGGTGGCCCCTTGGCCGATGGCAGCTTGGTGATAGTACTGCGGCGCTCTAGAACCGCCGGGCTGCCCAGTGTCAGGTTGTGCTCATTGAGCATAGCAGCGACGAAATTGATGACGAAATTCTGCACAGTTTATGCTCGCTCATTGATACCAGTAGCATGGGCGACATTGTCACAATCAGCGCCCTTGAGAGAATGAATATACCGTCTGAGTCCAATCATATCGCCAAGAGCGCAGCCACCGACTCGAGGAGAAAGACAGCTAGCAAGCGGGGCAACACCCGGGTGGCACCAGCCTGGGTGTGTGCTGGCATCAGCCAGTGCCACCCATGCTCCACTGTGTTTTCCCAAGGGCGGCACGTTGATTTTGAGATTACTACTGTAATATGACCGGCTCTTCACGCGGCATTCTGGTCATCCTGAACATCTTGAGGCGTGCCAACGGCTCGTGCGAGGAGCTGAATTTGATGGTCATTCGTCACGTACAAAACATCAATCGAGCAAGGCAGGATTTGCACATCAGTACCTCCATTCTCAATCCTGTACAATATGTTCATACCCGCTGAGTGAGGCAACAGCCAGTCAGCCTTATCAAGCGGCAAAGTAGACTCTCACTCACGTCTCCTTGACCGTGACGAAACAGATTGCTAAGGCGCACTTGGATACAAAGGATGAGCGCAAGAGACAACTTGCATATCAGCAAAGTCTCCACAATCGGATCTGTTTATTTGCGTTTTGACGAATTCGAGATCAAATTGGCAAATGTGATCCAGATTCGAACACGAATTGCACAGACCATATCCTGCTCACTAATGAACTCAAACGCCATGAGATTAGCCAGAATTCAACATAATCAATGACAGTACGAGAAATACTACAATAGGCTACATCATATATGCACTTGGAACACGCTCAATTGCAACATCGTAATTGTGTGCCCAAAGAGATTTCGCAAAGATTGATAGGGAGATGAGATGATGCGGATCGGTGTACCCAATTAGTTGATGCGCTCCGTGTATTCGTGCCATAGTGTGTCCACAAAATCTTTGTTTGTCTGCATCTAGATAAGACAGCAGTCCATATCATCGAGAACGATCACTCACATGTATGAGAGTCAACAACTCCCGAACGAAATCGTTTCGAGGAATGTCCTTAGCAAGTCGTTCCGGCTGTGAGATCATTGCAGAGATGGTCGCGTCTTTTACGACAGCCGGCTGGACGTTCGAACCGTTCACAGCGTGACCATTCATGGGAGATGCGTGGCGCATGGGCTGTTTTCCCTTGCCATTCATCATGACCGCTGGCGGAACAGCACTTGATGTTGGTCCCGCACTTAATTCCTGGCCGCGAACGGGGTCGTCCCACCCTCGCTCTATTTCTTCTTTCTCATTCTCACGGTCTGCAGCTCGCTCACGCCGTGTCTTTTTCTTTCCATTCGCCTTGTTCTGTTTCTCCTTCAACCTGTGAGAAAAGATCGTCGGGTCGCTCAGAGCGCGCGTGTCCGCAAAATCAAGCTCAACTACATCGCCGTCGTTATGATCCGACGTCCGATCGTCCAGCGGCGCCCGTGGATACGGCCACAAGTCTGAATCCGTCTCGAATGGCACCAGGACACGCGGGCGACCTACAGGCTCCGCAAGGGGAGTGGTTGATATCTGTCCAACCAGAGCAGTATGAGCTATTCCGTTTGCAGACCGCAAGGAGGGCACCGGAGCAAGGTGGTGGCTTCTCTGTGGCTGCAGGTTAGGAGAGAAAGGATCAATCCCACGCATCGTCGCACGGGGAGTGACGTCCCCCTCCACTCTCCGTACATCCTTTCCGGACCGGATCGTGCTGCCGTTGGGAGCCGCAGGTTGCACAGCGAATAGGGGAAGGCCGGAAGAAGACCCCGCCGCAAGAACAGCGGGATCCGCATCTGTATCGAGCACCGTGCTTGAAGCGGAGTAGTCTGACCCACTGGCCACCTCACCCTCACTATACTCGTTATCGCCTTCGTAGCGATTCAGCCCTGAGCGTCGTGAGCCTGACGAGCTCGGTGCAGCTGAAGAGGCACGCGAGCTTGATCCAAACCCTAGGAGAGATGAGATAACGTCTTGGTTTAGGATTTGTGGCAGCGCGCTTGATGTAGGCTTTGGTGATACGATCTCGATCTCTTCAAGACGATTTGAGAGCGAAGATGATTGCACTGCTGGGAGTGCATAGGAGCTAGACACGGACGATGTGGATGCCGAGGCGAATATGGTGTCAAGGAGAGCGAGCCCACGAGGTGCAGGTTGAGGCTGAGCGACTCCTACAGAAGCGAAGAGACCGTCTACGGTTTTGGATACAGCGGGCTGCATCTCGGCAGGTGCAGGAGTGGGCGACGAAGGCAGCAGCTTCGCGAATAACTTGTCTAACTCGGATCCAGACGCAGAGCTCGGGGCCGGAGGAGCATGAGTCTGTACTCCACTGACACCGCGCAGGGTAGGACTGTACGACGTTGCTTGCGATGTCTGCATGATATCAGATTCGTCGAGCTCTGGTCATTATCCTGGGGTCAGTGGTGCAAGTGTGTAAAGGACGAACGACGCACGGCGTGAAACTGATGCCCGGCTGGCCGTTCGAAGATGTGAATTCGAAGGTGGCGGCTTACCGGGGCCATATCTAAATTCTTCTGGATATGATTTGCCTTGCTTGATATACGAGTGCAATCTGGGCTGCGCTGAATGGTTGCTCTGTGACAGAAGAAAGGAGCTACACTTACCGCATCATGACATCCTTTAATGGTTCGCGCGAATCGGTCGCAAACATCCAAAGGCCAATAGTGATTGATGTGCCCCTCCACTCCTTTGTCGACGATGTACGTGATGCAGCGACCTCCTCTGGGGTCATCTGTCTAAGTAGCTCGGCATTAAGAGCAGAGCGTTGCTCTGCTGGTATAGGATACGGAATACCCATAGCAATGCGTGTTTGCGTGAATTTTGGATAATATCGATACATCAAGTAGTCGCCCAACACATCCATGTCGTCTTCTGGATGAATGGGGCGGATATAATCATCTGTTCCCATGCGGTTTAGGATGAAGAAGCCATATGGGGGGTATGTCTGCCTATTTGCGTTGAGTAAGGATGCACACGACCAGGCGAGATGAATCCGCACTTTTCAAATAGAAACATGCTGCCCTCGTAACCCTGCTTTTCCCATTTGCTTCCGTTGTGATGATACACACATACGTGGCTGAATTGGTCGAGTATAGATCGAATGGACGGCTCTCTTCGCAAGAGCACTTTCATGTTATTCTCATAAACAGCGGGTGTGAGGCCCATTTGTCGTTTTGACTGGGCAGGTGATTGTGTTCTTTGCGCATAGGGACTGTGAGAGATATTTGAGGAAGCATTTGACGTTGAACGGTGTCGAGGTGTCATAGCGATCAGCCCTTTCAAGGAATGGGACAAAGATGAAGGAGGTGAGGTTCAGGTGAGGAGACGAACAGCTGCCGAAATTTACATACAGAGAAATTGAAGATTGCACACTAGCTCACTCAGAACAGAAAGTTACGCTTATATTCTAGGCTTTCTAGGCTGTATTATGAGGTTCTAGCATAAGCGCCGTCTGTTATGTGGCAATATCATCCTGATTCTGGTCCGAATTCGCCCTCCGAGTCCGTATGTTTACCCTCCCATCCGCTCGTTCGCTGCTGGCCGTTTGTCGGTCGCCGGGATCGGTTCTCTCGCATGCGCTGAGGCCAGCGGCTCCTTTGTTCGCATTCTCTCGCTTTCGATCACAGCTTGCACCGAAGCGGGTCAAATACCTCAAGCGACACAAGGGGGTCGTTCCTGTTCCAATTGGAGGTTCCATCAAGGGTACAACACTGGCATTTGGCGACTATGGCATTCGCATTAAAGAGAACGGCAGAAGACTTACCGCGAAGCAGCTGACTTCAGCGGAAGAGGTGATCAAGAGGAAAATCAAGCCCATTAAAGGCGCGAAGGTCTACATGAGAGTGTTCCCAGATATCCCTGTCTGTATTAAAGTAAGTTGTAATCAATCATTTCGTCCTTCGCATGAATGCTCACGCCGTGCATCTTAGGGAAATGAGACACGTATGGGTAAAGGGAAGGGAGCCTTCGAGTTTTGGGCGACACGGTGAGCAATTAATTCCTCTCGTTTGCGTCTGTCTCTCAGTATGTACTCTATCACAGTGTCGCCCCTGGTCGCGTTATTTTTGAGATTGGGGGTGCTCCCATTCGCGAGGAGATTGCGCGAGAAGGTATCAATATCATGCCCCTGCTGTACACTAGCAAATCTAACAGTCTATGACAGCTCTCCGACTAGCATGCGACAAACTTCCTACAATAAACGAGTTTATTACGCGAGATACACCCCCAAGATTGGGGAATTTGGTGATGTCGAGGGAGGATTTCGCTACGCAAAAATGCGTACCAATCACAGCTCCGTAGATCATTTGTCGCGTTCGTTTATTGTCTCCCGCATATTGAAGCATAATTCATGGGTACGACGCCTACATAGCTTGGGCCTTGTAAGCTGTGTTGTACAGTATGGCTCGTCAAGATGAAGCGCGAACGACCGGCATGCATTCAGATCTGTCTAGAAACGATGTATTGAAGACTGAGTCTATGTATGAGGTTAGAGCTCTATCCTTGTCGAATATTGCTGGGAATCGGCAAGAGTATTAGAGGTCGAATGGAATTCAGAACGGACTGCAACCACAAGCCGATCCAACATGGGATGCAAGCGTTTCTAGAACCATTGCTAGTGAAACGTCATGATGCAATCTCATCTGCTGCCTTCCTGCCTTCTTCTCGGGCCTTGTCCAGCTCCTCCAGCCAGCCAACGTCCCTTGCTATCGACATTGATCGTGACCTCTGCCGCCGCTTGTTTAGATGAGACCAATCCGCCCCCACCCCCACTTCTGTTCCATAAACAGATTCTGTCTTAGGTTTAGGCGGACTATATTTGTACGTCCGGAGTTGCCATCGCCAGACGTCAACGGTAGTCGAAAGAGATGCAGCTTGCTTGCGAGATGAACGTGTCATAGTCTGCAGCCTTTGCTCTAGCTGTTCAGGCGTGAGCTCCTCCGCGCTGTGAACTTTCTGCACATTCTTGGTCTGCAATAAGGATGGAAGCACAACGGTTTTGAGATACCTGCGAGCAAACATTGGAATCCCAGCAAGGCATACAGCGTAAATACTTACCTCATGGACTTAATCTCATGGTCGGGATATCGAGGCTGTGGTTTCCGATCGAAAGAAGGGGTGGTAGCCTCCATAGAAGAGGGCGAGCTTGAGGGCTCGTGCGACGCCTCGTGCTGTACAGCAAGCTTGAATATCTCTTGCACCGTCGGCGGTTTGGATTGTGCACCTATGACAGCGAGAACGATCCTTCGGGCCTCTTTCGTCGCACCCGGTCGCCGAAGTGACGCATTCATAGTGTGAACTTTGTGAGATGTGCCAGTCGAGTCGTTTGGCCGTCACCGCCTAATGGGCCGGGATATTTGACCGTGAACGTTGAAAGGCGTTACGAAGTAATATGAACATTCCGGAGTTATTTACATACCTAAGTATTTGCATACGGATCAAAATAAATATTTAGAAAACAGCGACCTATCACGCCAAACCCGCTCTCTCTCTGAACCGCGACTATCACACACTGTGCTCTTGAACATTCCATCTTTATTCCGCGAGCGTCCTGGATCTTAGTCGAGTTATGAGTGATAGGAAGCGAGGATTCGAAGGTAATGGGGATACCAATGTGGCGAAGAAGTTGAAAAGGTGCGCTTGCGTGCTGCTCTCGGGGCTATTCAACTAACTATTGGCCATCTCTAGCGATGCTGTGAGTAAATTCCTCCTCATCCCAAGGTGAATTGACCTCTTACAATAAGTTTGTATCCGTTCTATAACCGATTTGTACCCTTAGACTGCGAATGGATCAGGTTTTGGCCCAGCCGTACGTGCTCCCTGAAGCGCAATGCGTGCTCCTACTGACTTCCAAGACAGCTCACTCCCGAGGCTCTCATAGCCCAGAAGAAAGCAGAGATTGCTGCCAAAATAGCTGCAATGAAGAAGGGGGCGTCGACGCCCAGTTCTACCCCGTCCACCACTATTGCAAGTCCAGTCGTGCCCTCCCCCCGTGCCGCGTCCCCGTCCCCGTCTGGGACGGATGATCTCGCACGGCGTGTTGCAGAGGCTAAACGCAGAGTGGCCGATGCACAGAGCAAACTGGCTGTAAAAGACAACCCTTACATGGTACGTGGCCGAACTACGCAAACTCTAGGACTATACTGATAATACCTCAGACTCTTCCGCAGGCAGGAAAGAAGAATCGTCCTGTTGAGCCCGCGCAGCAAGGCGCGGGTCTGAAGATGGCAGCTCACCCGCTGCTTCTGGACAATTCGACCCCCGCGCCGCAGTCAAAGAAGGATAGGTACAAGCCTATGCAGCCAAAGTTTGCTTCCATCAAGGTTTGAACATCCTCTACGATTCTGTATTTCTATTCTAACGGCTATTCTGTAGGCAAACGTACGCAATGCTCCTACGCCGCCGCCGCCCCCGACACCCATTGCCCCGATAGAGGCACAGGCGAATCCGTACGCTTCTGGGGCATCCGCACCACCCGATAGTGGATTCGAGGGCGCTCCAAGAGAGCGTGTGGGTAGAAGCTTCAGGTTTAATCCCAAGGGCAAGTACGTCCAAATTGCAAACCAGGTGCGGCAAGAGGCGCAGCTGGAGCAGCTGAAGCAAAGGATTGCGGAGAGTGCGAAGAAGGCGGGATTGGACACCGAATTTGAGACGCTCGAGAAGAACATCAGGGTGCGTGATGGAATGACCAAAGACGACCAAGAACTTATTCGAATCCTGTAGCGAGAGCCTCCGCCTGCAGCAGAGTGGTGGGATGCGGCCCTTCTTCCAAACAAGACATACGACGATCTGATCCTTGGCTTATCCGAGATGAACATCCGAAACGCAAACTCACCAATCACGATGTATGTCCAGCACCCTATTCCGATCCCTGCTCCGGGTGACAAGAATAAGGTGGCCATGAAACCATTGAAACTGACGAAGAAGGTTGGTGATAAAGCTCATTCTTTGGCGCTGTATTCTCACACGAAGGTCGTGCGATCAGGAGCAAAAGAAGATGAGGAAGCAGCGACGTCAGGCCGAGCTTCAAGATAAGCGAGACCGGATAAGGATGGGTCTTATTCCTCCAGATGCGCCAAAAGGTCTGTTCACATGTCCAGTATGGCAGGCCCTTGCTAACCGCGTATGATTCACTAGTGCGTCTTGCTAATCTAATGAAAGTCTTGACATCGGACGCCGTACAAGACCCCACACGTGTCGAAGCAAGAGTGCGGCGAGAGGTTGCCATGCGCAAACATGCGCACGAGAAGATGAATGCCGAACGGAAGCTCACCGACGACCAACGCCGAGAGAAGATAGAGAATAAGAAGGTTGAGGAAGAGAAGAGGGGTATTTATGGTGCCGTGTTTAAGTACGTATATTTGTTATCGTCGAGCCCATTAATCTGCTCATCTCTCGTGCCACAGGGTGAAGACGCTATCAGACCCGGCTCATAGGTTCAAAGTGAGGAAGAATGCCGAACAGATGAGTTTGACTGGCGTCTGCATTTTCAACTCGGCATTCAGCATGGTGTATGTGGAGGGAGCGGCGAAATTTATACGTCAGTACAAGCGGTTGATGCTGAATCGGATTGCGTGGACGGAGCCTGCGCGGGAGCGCGGCGGGGAAGACGTAGAAATTGACGAGGGCGACGAAGGTGATGGCGCAGCCGACAAAGGGAAAGGGAAAGCTGCTGCGCAGAGTGATGAACCGGATGGTAGTGTCTCGCTGGAGGACAATCATTGCTGGTTGATTTGGGAAGGTCAGCTCAGAGATAGGGCGTTCAACAACTTTAAGCCGAAAAGCTGCCCTACGGATGCAGCAGCGAAGGAGGTATTGGGCTCCAAGCTTTCCGGGTATTGGGATCAAGCCAAGAACTGGAAGCCGGAGGAGGAGGAGCTGTTCTGAGTGGCCCGTCTCAGAGCTTATGCTTGTATAGGTTGTTTGGCCGTTGTTTCCTGTTCTCGCGATATTGCTGCAGACTGCGCAATTATGCAGGCTTCGCCTTCAGGATCATAAAATACAGATGCACTTATCATAATTCGCATGCACTAGTGTTCTGAATACTGGAGTTGCCAATTTGAGCAAGGCGGGCAGATCGCTGGTCCTCAAATACTTGTGTCATCACGTCAACGTCCTCGGAGGCGTAAACGCAAACCTCATCTCAAATGCCTCGAGCACCAGTTGTTGACCTCAGGAATGGTCTTTCATTTCCAAGCTATCTCAACTGTCCACATGAGTTTGATCTGGACTCGCGATACCTCCGCGAAGACCCCAATGGAATCTCCGCGAGCCACGTCCGCCATTGGTGCTACTTCGGCGAGATTGTAAACTTCGATGTTTTTTCACGCCTCACCGTCGATGTCCGCGACGCCGCCAGGACGGTGGTGCGTGCGGCATTCTACGATGACGACAGGGGCATGCCGCTCGTCGAGGCTGGGACAGTCCGGCGAGGCTACACACTGGCCCACTTGTACCCGTTGCGGCACTCGTTCGTGGATGGGTCTTACGGCTTTCGGATGGAGGAGACATCCGACATCAAGGTAAAGTGCCCCTGGACGCATGTGAGTCACTCGTGAGCAAGTGCAGCGCTCACGCAGGCCGCGCAGATCCTGCCGTATTCTCTCAGGGAGATCCTCGCAGCTAGTGACAGACTACAGCTGTCCAGGCTGTCCTGCTGGCATGAAGGCTGCACCGAGGCCGAAGAATTAATGAAGTGCAAGGGGTGCGGAAGAGCTAAATACTGTCGCAAGGTGCGTAGGGCGCCCTTACTGTGTTTCCCCCCGTACTGATTCGGCAGGCTCGGTTAGGAGCACCAAGTCGCATCGTGGAAAGCAGGCCATAGGGGTGAATGCAAAATTCTTGCTGATCTGGAATGGTTCATGTGCCAAGACTGGTCGAAGTTTCGCGGCTTCCTGTCCTTCAACTAGTTCCGAGTCTGCGCCTTTCATGGCTTCCGTTGGTCCTGGTGGACTTCCGTGCTCCCGAGATGCGGCTGGGGTGTTCTTGTCTGCATTTTGGCTCCCTGTGGGTACTGGTCCTCGGAGCGTTTATAGATGTACTTACCTCACGCTCCGGTATTAATGTGAGGCCGGTTTACAACCACAAATACTTTTGACTTATTACTAAATTGGCAGATCAGCCATGAATGACTTCAGGATGTAGCACAATTGCATGTATTTTGATTATAGAACTACGTCTTCCTAGTTCTCAGGTTCTTTGAGGCCATTGTGCCTTCCTGATCACTTTTACGTTATGAGCATCTAAATGGCAAAGAACATATCTGATTTCTCAAGTTTTATAAGATCGACGGTTTGTAGAGAAGGACATGACGTAAGGTGAACATATAGGTAATATTAACAGCGTCGTATGGTTGAATTTGTACTGTCGAACAGGACGCAGTGTCGTATAGACATATCATCGCGTCAATTTCCAGCCGTGGACCGTACCACGAACTTCTTCGTCGCCGGGATCCTCAGGGAACATTGGCTATACAAAAAAAAAGTTAGCCTAGGACACCTATGTACGAGTGTACTGGTCGTGATGTACCGGAAACTTTCTCGTCAGAATCTCTTCGCAGTGCCATCCGTATGCTCTCGCCTTGCTGAAGAATTCCATGTCTCGATGTGCGAGATGGGGGCGATGGTGGGTGTAGAAAACTAAGAGACATGGAGGGGGCATAGTAAGGCCCGAAGAGTCAGCGGCTTGCAAGTATTGTGGCCTGGCAAGGCTGTGATCACAGGCTCTTAGCAAGGCGTCGTGCTATTGAGGAATATGAATATATGAACTGCGGGGGAACGAACTAACAGCATACGCACCTGCGAATGATTGAAAATGAGATCTGACATGATCACCAGATCAAATCCGATGGATTTCGCTGGAGAGGGGAGAGCATCTAAAAGGGGACCTACTGGCTGACCCCAGATATAACCCTATGTGGTGTGTGTAAAACTTGATGATGGACGAAAAAAAAGCTACAGGCAGAATACCTTGACACAAAAGTTAGAAGCGGAAGTTGATACTGTATTCGTCTTGACATTATACGACAGATTTTCAAGCAGATCGGCGTCGGGGTAGTCGGTCAGGACGACCTGTCCATTTATGCGCCCGAGTATCTCAGACGATCAGAGCATGAGCTTCAGGAGGCTGAAAACGTTCACCAACCGTCCGTGCGCCGTTTTTGCAGGCAACAATTCCGGGGAGACCGCCGCCCGCTCCCAGCTCAAGCACGTGTCGATATTTGTAGAGCTCCGCGTGCTCGTCTAGATAGGTCGCAAAGGCACGAGATGCATTCCACCTTTCGAAGGCTCAAGATGTCTCGGAAAACCGACCTGGGGCGACAGGAAAACATACAAGTGGTGCCCCCACAGGGGATGAGATCCAACCAAGCGAATGTTGATGCTAGACCACGTAGATGAAGATCGATCTTCGTCATCTACAGGGCTCCGTCCCTCGCCGTTAATTGGAGTCTCCTCGCGCACGTACGTAGAAGTGGTGGGATCGGGAATCGGAGGGGCTGGTGGTTCCTAAGAAACGTTTACTGTGAGGAAACGACCACGGTTGTTGACACTGAACGCACCGGAAAGATAGAGTCGAGTCCAAGTGTATGGCCACCTTCCGTGTCCGACATGAGGTTTGGTCAATTACGAGTTGCTATCGAACTTGGGCTCAGAACACTCTGTGTAACGGTTGCGGGTCGAAGACATTGGATGGGTTTCCTTTCTTGGCTGGTGGTATGAGCTATCCATTGCCACATTAGGAAAACCTACATGTTCCTTTTCCTGCTTTTAGTATTTTTTCAATTTTTTTCGCTATAAAAAAAGCATTGAAAACAGACATGTTGCACAAGTACTATAAAATTCTTTTTGAGATATCCATAAAACACAAAAAGTCAAAAAAAGTGCTGAAAAGCAAAAAAGCAAAAGAAAAATCCTGATGCTTTATTCTCATGTCTCATTCACTGGCTTCTGATGTTTCATCATGGTTTCATGTTTACCCTCTACCCTGTTTTCTACATATATACAGTGACTCATAAACTGCTGCAATGTTAGCAACATTGTCATTATTAAACATATTATTAAATAATATGAAAATATATAGAACATGTTATCAGCATTTCAAATCCTACTGGTTGAGAGCTTCTAGATCTATATTGGTTTTGTCAAGGTATCTACCAAAAACCTGAACCTAACCCTAACCCTACACTCATTGTGGTAGAGCTGTATCTTGGCTTAGCTTGGTGGCTAGGTTGTGACCAAAGAGTGGCTAACTCTGAAGAGGTACATATTTCAATCTTAGCATACTATAGAAGCATAGTTATACTGGGTGGATCATGCATGTGATTGAACACTGCAAGAAATGCTCTTTATATATATGGATAGTAATATGTAGTCAATTTTTGAGTCGAAGAGAATCAATGTTTAGCTTTTAAGCCACCATGATGACATTTGATCAATAATAATAATAGCACCCAGTATATGTTCCCACTAGCTTTCTTCCTCCTGCAATCATAGACTTGTTAAGAAAATTGATAGCCAGGTTCCTTCTTGATGATACAATTTGCCTTACTCTGAGGTGCCGAACATAAGCTTATTCAGGCACAAGCCTCAAGACAAAACACATCATAGAATCACCATCTATAGCCAGGAGAAGAGACAGGCCACTGGGGAAATGCATGCATTAGAAACCAGAGTGCTATTAGGCAGATGGCCCTGTGTTGAAAACTCCCCAGAATGCCGGGAAGTCTGTGCATGCCCAAGAGTTCACTATACATTTTTTACTCCAATACTTGCCATTCAATAGTCTGGAATGCACAGTGCACTCTCGATGTACGACTCATCAGATGAAGTCGTACGAGCAGATTTGGATAGTCGCCAAGGATATCAAGACGAACGGCATACTGCAAGTGCGAATGAAAATAATAATAAATCGCTGCCGAGCCATACCCTGAGTTATCATACCCAGTATCATGTTGAAACGAGGAAGTATGATTGAGCTAGTTTCTTCCTGTGAAGTGGTTGCATAAGCCGCCTGCAAAGATCAAAAAACTATATTTAAATTAAAAAACAAGCCAGTTGCTGTAGCGCGTTCGACAAAAGAGTGCGTCTAATCGTCCGCCTCTTCCGCCAGTGTCAACCGCTGTTGGCACAGTCGCACAACGGCTGCACCATCAATGGGTATCTCGTTGCCCTGAAAGCCAATTGGATAATTCACCCTAGGCACATCCGGGCGAGTAAAGTGTCTGCTCAGATATATCAGTATGACATCACCGCGATGTAGGGCTGATGACGTACGTATCGTTCCAGAATCCGTAGTGCACCATACCCAGTGCGCGAGTGGTATATTCGTAGTCATGAGCAAACCCATCTGGATAGAAAAACTCCATGACGGTTGATCTAGGAGTCGGCCGCATCCACAAAAGCGCGGTCAAACCGTTGCCGTGTACACCCATCATAATCTGTACGCAAGCCATCGCAAATCAGTGTTTGCTGCTAACAGACGATTGTACTTGCACCCACCGTTGTTCGACCGGCTAGCTGGAACTGCTCAATACGCGACAGCTTATCCATGCTCACGATATTGACCTCATACCCGTATTGATCGCGTAAACCGTACAGCTCGCGCACCAATCGTTCGTGATCTTCCTCAATGAGCATGCGGCGACCCCAGCCCTGACGAGATATGTATGTAATGACAGGCGTGCGTGCCACACCCTGTACTGACATGGCGCCCCCCATCTCCGCGAGCCCCGCGAAGCCAACTACGTTGTTCCGGATGGTGCTCCACCAGTTGACGCTCCCTGGAAGCGCGAATGCATTTGCAGCAGTACGCTGAGTGCGCAGGAAGTTGTCGCCATACATCGCGGCTGCACGATCGGCAAGCACGACGCGGTCAAGCACGAACGTTCTACCCATAATGATACGCTCCTTCCAGTCATTCATGAACTCCATGGAAATGGAAGGGAAAGCACTCCGCAATACCCATTGGTTCATCGCCGCATAGTCTCGCCAGTTGTTAGCGTCCAGAGACGGGAAGATCATCCGACGAGGAGCGGGCAGAGTAGTCTCCCCGGTCGGAGGAATACTCGGATCAAGGGACGAGTAGGCCCGCCAGAAGCCAAAGAAAAGCTCTGCAGACCAATGGTAATAGTGCGTAATACTGCAACTCTGTGAGAATATGCATTGAGCCAAGTGCATAAGACTTACAATTGCTTGGGGTCGTATGCAAGCCACTGGGTCGATCAATGAAGACGGCGGAGGAAATGAACAGGTTGAGGTACGTACCGAAACACCATCTAACCTCTCTGCACTCAGGCCGAAGAGACGTCTGGCCTCGTTCGTGTCGATGATGCGCATTTCCTGGTCCGACGGTGCATGTTTTTCTGGATAATAGGGTCCATCCTCGATAAAGATTGCATTGGATATCATGTGGCTCCTATCAGGTATGCTCTGCGGATGATCCGTGACGACGTATAGAGTCCCGTTGAGCAAGTATAGTCTATCGAATATGGTCCAACCTATGGAACATTGTATCAGAAACCGATTATGTACTCAGGATAGGAGAGAAAAGCGCAGATTCTGGATCTTTCCCAAGTGTAATAAACCGCCAAAGTCTACTAATGCGGCGAAGTAGGTTGAGGAGGATGGAAGGAGTGATGGTTTCATCCTACACTATAGCGGAGAATTAGAGGACCATAGAACATCGGGACTCACCAGGTACGTGGACTACGATTTTCGTCTCCGGAACTTGGCTCAGATCCCAGCTAAGAGGTCTGTTCAGGGACTGCAGCGTGTACTGGGACTCTAGTGAGGGATTAAGCGCAGTAGAAGGTACATTCTCCGATTGCGCGTATGGTTGAACCAGCTCATTGATGCTCGTCGTATATGGAGGTAGTGTAGAAGAGAAAGTGAGAAGGGCTACCAGCAAGACCAGGAGCAAGACCACCTCTCGAGCCGTGGGTGCAAGGGGCGGCATCACTTCAAGCCAGCAAATTTGCGACGGTAAAAACCAGAATAGTTCACCGCATATGTTTGAGGGCTCAGAAAACTCGCAGAGTTCTGAAAGGAGGAGATCTAGCTATAGACGACTTGTGCCAGGTGAGGTAGGGTAAGGTCGACGCGGCGGCCACTTTGCATACCACGTGGAAAATGATCCCGCCCAAATCAGGCAGGCATCGTGGTTCAGCAAAAATTACTTCAACAAGTGTTTGTAGGGCCGGCATGCTGCCGGCAAAGCCCGCTACCCAACAGTGACTTACTTTAGGATACTCCGTCAAAAAAAAATGTTGTTTATTGTCTGATACACTTATGCTAGCAGAACGACATGTTCAATATTGAAAACATATACAACTTCTACATTCTTGAGTAGTAGTCGGGAAAGACTGCAAACGGCAAGAACGATGTGAGCCTAAACGTCGGTTTTGGAGCGAAAGCATGATTTTTGAAGCAGAAGTGAATACGTGCCAAATCTCCTGAGCGATTTCAGACAATCACTCCAGATCAGCCAAAATAAGACCCCCTACCCAAAGGGTAGTGGGAATTACATGATGGTGTGCATTGCACCACCCAGACATGAGCATGAATCTTATAGCCATATTCACCTTGACGGAAAGAATACACAATGTTACAGTTGACTACCTTTCTTTATAATTATCAGTGTCCGTCATAATACAAAGTGAACCTCAAAGATGCAGAAGGTGGGGTCAAGTGGTGCCTGTATCACACCTTCCACACGCGTGTTTGTAAGCATAACGGTCAATGAGTCTTACGCAGGGAATAAGCTGATTGAAAAGCATAAAGAATTATGAGGAACACGCGTACATGGGGAATTATTCAAGAGGAGGTCCGCAGTCAGATAGTATCAGCGGACTTGAGCAATAAGCCACTACCGAGAATGAGAGCATCAGCGACAGCAGAGCACACGCGGTACAACACGTTATCCACCTGGTCGTTGAGAGTGTGGTGGGATCTGGGGTGAAGCAATCCATCATGTCGGGTGATTTATATGCGGCCAGTCCTAATGGCCACGAGCTCTGTCTCGTGGCTATCTAGGCCGTCTAGAGGCAATGTACCGGCATTTTTGTTCAACATCAGCATGGCCTGGGCGATTCGATGACGCTTATTGCGCACATCGGAAGAACAAGGTGAGCACAGACTTCTATTGAGAAGTTACAGAGACGACTTCTCGTATGTTAGCTCACATCACACGTGAAGGTCGTGCTGCATCCATGCGTCCGTGCTTCGAAAACGTATGGGACAGAATTAGGGCATTCGCAGTTTGGAAGCGCGCTGCGGCGGCAGAAAAGAATTTTGACAATTTTCATGTTCTCAGGGTTAAAGCTTCTCGTATTCGCTGCATACAGTACAACAGATAGCATAATCAAAAATGTCCACTCGGTATATTGCGTCTCTCATACACTGTTATCCAAATCCGAATCAGTGTCAAATAGCAAATAGCATTGATGACTGAGTCAGACCCATCATTCTATAGCATTTCGTTCATGGTTATGTCAGCTATAATTCCTGTAGCCTCAGCCAACCGATGTTCTATAAGTCTGATAGTGATTTATGAGAGTCTGGCCAGATGACTAACGCAAGACTGACCTCTCGAACACGTCTAGCGGACCTCCCTGTGCAGATGATACTTGTTCTCTCCCAGGCTTATGAGCATCATCCGCATAAGCCTGAAGAGGCACCCAACTACTGAGTGGGCTTGTTCCAGGCTCGTACGTGGCTTGAGCCACATACAAAAGCAGTCCATCCGATCTTATCTCCCTGAACACAGAATATAATTCTACTACGGGCGGTGCAGCACCATGCAGGTCCATCGATGGCGTAGCTTGTGAAGGAACCAAAGGTAAGGTCACCGAAACGCGCCGCAAGCTTCGTGTAAGCGGGATAAGCGTGTTGCTGAAATATGCGAGTGTCGTGTTGGTGTGATAGGGTACAGGAAGTAACGTGTGCGGGTACGGAAATTGGTATCGTGGTATCGAACCCGAAGCATGTGAAGACTCGACGGTCGAATCCTCTGGCCCAGCTTCTGGAGCGCTGGGGGGAGGCGGGAATGACGCCAGTTCGGAGAGCCGAGTATCTCGCCACCAGAAACGGAAGGGTGTTTCGCACTCTCCGACGTCCTGTCCCTTCCATTTGAGCACGTCCAGCACATGAAGAATGCCGTTATCTCTCCAGTTCTCGTCGAGGATACAGTCCAGTATAGTCTGCGGGGGAAGTGGGGAAGGAAAAGGTTTCATGAGTTGCTTCCCCAAAACGCGCGAGCGCAGAGTGGTGTTAGGGACTGCGAAAGAAATTGCCAATTACGAACACATGAGCAGTATTGCGAAAAGACACATACCGACACCTGCAATTCCGCTCGTGTAATGCGTCACAGCAAGACATCGTTTACCCACAGGTACAGGTGCCACCGCCACCCAGCCCGTTTCGATATCATCTGGGATACCGTCACGACATGTCTGCACTGCATTCTGATCCTCAATCATCTCAAGCAACTCGGCATACATACACTTGTCCGCCCATCGACTGGGTTTCTTGCGATTTGAGGTTTGATGCTGCTGTCCATCGGCAGCGCCCTGACGCGCCTTTCCCTTACGCCTCTTTCCGCGCTTCTTTCCGGTCGTCTGTACATTGCTCTCCTGGGAAACAGGTGGGGCGGACTCACGAGGAGTGGCAGCACTAGGGACTATTTTGGCACTATTACCAGCACCGGCGGGTGGAAGCATGGCTGCGAATTGAACCATGCCTTCCTGGATGATGTCTGGACCGCCTTGCATGGGGTCCTCATCATCCGCCTCATCGTCGGATGGACCCAGGGTCAAGTCGGCAAAGAAGTCGAGTTGTCTAGTTGAGTCAAATCGCTCTGCCCTTCGCTTGAAAGATGAAATCGCATAGTATTAGGGGGATTGAGACAGGATCCTGCACACGTTCCTACGCACACGTTTTTGCTCCTCAAGGGCCTAGGAAAACTAGGTCAGCGTCAAAATGTCGAATCTCTGTAAATTTGATACATACTCTATTCCTTCGATGCTCCTGAGAGGTGACCGTATCTCGGAGGGTCGCTGGTGGCACTTTATAAGACAATTTGCGGTCGTTCGTTGACATCGTGGGCCCCGTGAAATGCTGAAGGAACGTCGAGATATGCTGAATAAACAAATATCAATCGGCGTGAAGAGCTAACTTTGAAACAATGGGGTTCAAGTTCACGTTGGGTTCAAGTGAAAACGTATCCAACTCTCTTTGGAGTGGTGTGGCACGCGTCTGGAGCGTGTATAGATAGGATCGATCTCACGTGGCGTACCGGGCCGAGTACAGTCCGGATCTCAGGGAGATATCTTCGGAGAGTCACTGTAAAGTTGAATTCTCATCTTGACAATCTTGACAGTATGTACAACCCCTTGAATAGCATGTGTCGTGCAGCAACTGGTCGGACTACGCTTGGGAAATAGGTATCAGCAACGGGAGGAAGCTCGCTGACGGTAGTTAGATGCGCTGGCATACATCTCAGCAAGCCATTGCATAATGCTGCGATGGGATCTATGCCAATTTTGCTTACTGGTACGTGCTAGCAAATGTAAACACTCAGGACAGCACAATTGTGTTTTCAGCTAAGTACATCCCGTCATGATTGCGAACTGATACATTATCAAGGTCAGCCTCAGCTGACAAGATATCACTTGCCCTGAGCTCCCCGGCATCAGTCTTCCACCAACCACCAACTACACTCTAGTCAGCGCAACACAATCGAGTGTATGATCACCCTCCCACCTGGTGTGTTACGCTTCTCTAACGGCCGAAGAGCGCCAGTGTCACTTACTTTGTCTACAGCCGCTACAGCGATTCTTGTACTCGCACTCGTTCTCCTCCTAGCCATGCTTGCAGCAATCTGCATTACATTCTATCGTCGCCGCAACGCTATGGTCGCGCCGATCTTCCAATGCTCCTCTCCCGATCTATCAGAGAAAGACCCTAAACGCAGCCTTCTCCACAGCGGCCCACTTGACCTACCATGCGACTTGGAGGCAGATCTCTTCAGCCCGCACTTTGCCTTGAATCGCGGAAGTGCCGAGTCGTTGCGCAAAGGAGCGGACCTTGGCTTTAAGCTATCTACCGTGGCTAACAGGAATGCGCTCACGCACTCAATTTCGACCCTGGGAGCTCCCCTCTCGCCCTCGCGCCCGCGCTTCTTCAAGGTCGAATCGCAGAGCGGGAGAGAAATCGGGGTCGAGATGCGCGTTACGCCGCCGACACCGCATGAATCTTGCACTGGCAGCCCCAACTCGGGACTCCCCACGCATAAATCCGAATTCAGTATTCGTCGCATGAAATTTGGATCTTTTGGTAGCGGGCTACCTGTGACTCAGAGTATAGCGGAATCGAAGTGGTGGTTCCTGTAACGTCGCATCGAACAGGCTCAAGTCTGATGCCATGATCACCTTTTGAAATCCGGTTGCATGCAAACTTGTTACTCGCGCCCATAATACATATTCGTTTAGAGCCGTATTCTTCTGACGAGACACATCAGCGAGTTGGAGCAGAGTTTCTGAAGATGCCTCTATACAGCTGAAAGACAGCAGTGATTGAGCTAAGAGTACAGCGTTGGATGGGGAGGAAGAAGGCAAAGGTGAAAAAGAGAATTCTGGAGAAAGATTCCATGGGTTACTTGAATTGTGTGCATACGAGAGAAGTCGCTACGGCAATATGTGTATGCACAGGCAGAGATTCAGCAGCTGCAATGAAGAACACGTACTGGACGGCGCTTCTGAATTACAACGTGAAAGGTCGTGGAGGTCATACCAATGACTCAAGATTGGAAGAGCAGCGGGAAATGATTAGTGTTCGAGTCGACTGAGATATGCGATAGAATGGAACTCCAGGATAAACTCAAAGTCGACATCGAAAAAGAGCATGAATCGCATGACCGAAATGAAGTCCTGAATTCCTGGAGTTAGAAGGGAGCCATCAGAAGATCGGAGGGATTTGAAATGTCCCTACTCGGACTAATATATCTCAATGAAGGTACGCACATCCCAGTATACGTTTATACAAAATTACACGGTGACTTATTTTATTACAAGCTTCGTATTCTGCATTGCCAGTGACAGTGAGATACTGCTACAGCAACTCAAATGCCTCACGTAATGCCGTAACTGCATCGGACACGATCTGCCTACCCGATTGCAGGACTCTAAAGGATACAAAGAAAGGTATTAGCCATAAAGACATACTCCTAAGAAGAATTATCTCACCCTGGATAAAATACGCACATCGATTCGGACCAGTGTATAAGCTCACATATCAATTGAAATCGCACGAATATTATGGACGCACCGTCGAGACCCATAATCGTGTGGGGGGAGCCTTTGTAGATATTTACTTCGGCTTCGACTCCAGCCTGCTTCAGCTTCTCGCCGTATGCGACAGCTTCGTCTCTCAAGAGATCTAACTCCGCGACCCCGATCCACGCCTTGGGTAGCTTCCTAAAATCCTCTTCGGGTGCGAGGATCGGGGAACACTCCCACTCGTGCCGATCGTTCGTGTTTGGGACATACTTCTCGCGGAAGAAGAGTAGTCTAGGAAGGAAGAGCCCGATGGTGTTCTTGTTTTCTGACCATGACAGATACCGGGGATCATCCACGTTGGCGGTGTTGTCCGTGCAAGGAACAATGAGAAGTTGAAAGACAAGTGGAATGGGGGGCTGTAGGAGGGCTGCCTTGTGTGTGAGGACTGCGGCGAGATTTCCCCCACTTAGAAATGGCATGAGTATACCGACTAGCGACTATTCGCGGTGAGCGCACCTGGAACAGCCGCCCACGGCAATCCTTTTCACGTTAGTGCTCAACTGCGTGGCACCGTTCTCGTGGACCCATCGAAGTGCTTCGACAGCATCTTCCACTGCAGCGGGATACGGGTGTTCTGGTGCAAGTCGGTAGGCGACAGAGACGACGACGCAGCTCGCCCCTTTGGCGAATATTAATCTAGTTGATGCGCATATGACGTATTGGAATGCATGCTCACGTTTGCACATATGGGTGCAGAAAGTGTTCTCGGTAGCGATATCTCCCATCACCCATCCTCCTATGAGAATATGAGCATGAACACGCGTGCGCAACACGTAAGGCAAGCTTACCTCCATGGAAATACAGAATCAGAGGCCATCCGCCCTGAGGCGCGGTGCCCTCGGGCGTGAAGATACGCATAACAAAGCGGTCAAGGGGTATATCCCGTATCTCACCTACCTTCGAAGGCTCGGATGCACCGTTACTGGGAAGAGTGCGTTTCGTGGGGTCCCACGGAAGCAAATGGCTTGGAATCACATAACGAATCACAGCATTGTGGAATGCAGCATACTCAGGATCGAGTCGGGCCAGAATGTCAGGAGGGATTGGTTGGTGAATTGGTCGTTCAGGCTGAGATTCCGTCATGCTGAGCAAGTTGAATCGGCAGTGCGTGCAGGACTTGCGTAGGATACAAAGAGTCAGGTTCCAGTATATCAAGGCGCCATATAATGACCTGGGGGTGCTAACACATCCTGCATCATGCTTCTGGCCCTGAGAATTTACTCTGAGTAAGTCAGACCAGTGGATATCCCCCGGGGACGTGACTCAGTCTGAAACCTACTAAGACTGGCGGAAGCTAAAAGTAGTCACATCATGATCATACCCGCGTTTATTATTTTAAAACGGCCGTGCTTACCTTATTGTCGACTCAGATTGCTACGCGAAAAGTAAGTCTGAAGAATTGAATGCAGTACGATCCTTGGTAAGGCCCGGGGGAAAGAACATCGAGAACCGAACGGAAGCCAACCTCCTCGGCGATGGCCGTGTAGGCCCTGAGTCAACGCGCAAACTTGAACAGAGCTCCATGATTTTTGTGATTCTAACATGTCCTATACGCAACCCACGCTCATGCGGAAGACAACTTCATATATACTACATAGTTCGTACGGCGTGAATGCTCTATTATAGACGGTACCGGCACGTTGCACGTTCGCATCTTGGCCGGAGTCGCTGGACAATGACTTCTTTGTAGATAGTACATAACGTACGTCTAGTAGTTTGAGCGCGAGCTGTTGGCTATCGGAATACATGTGGGTTTGATTGCATATAGTCAGACTCTCCGATGTTTGCGGATCCGGAAAGAGAAAAATAATCTGTGAACACACGCATACAGCCTAGCAAATAATCCCCGTCAGAATGTAAATGAGGGATAAACATTGGAAGAAGTATAATACAGTATCCAGGAGTCGCGATTCGCGAAGACGTTACTGCGTGTCGGTGCGAAGTTTGAGCATCTTGAATGTGCATATGTTCAGCTAGCTCTTGGAATGGAAGGTGGAGCTCGACGGATGTTTATCACAGAAGCCAAAGACCCTGAGGTACTTATAAGTCGAAGATTTACAGCAGCTTCGATCTGGTTTAGTCTTCGAAGGATGACTGACTGATGGATCCATGCGTACGTATGACTATCTGAGCTCACGTTTCCGAATTGATGACTCGTTGATCGTCAGATGGGCATCCGAGCCGTTGCTGCAGTTTTAGGGATGGAGAACTTTATCGAAAGATAACGAGCAGTACACGATGGGTGCATGTACAAATTTCGCGTTTGTCAACGAAGCGCAAGCGGATTGAGACCCCAAGAACCAGTACTCAAGGAGCCGAATTTGAGTGGTGCCCCTGTCGATATGATAGACTCGATTTCTGGCTCCACCGAGATCATAGTTTGCTCTTGGCCATAGCGGGACAAGCAGCGGTGATGACACAGCGCAGTGGCCAAGAACGGAATGCCGCAGAGCCAATAGTAAGAGCTCGTTTTCAGCAGTACGAGCGGAAAAGCTTGGCACAAGTCGAACAAGATACCGGTCTGAGGGGTACCAGGCGAGGCTTGGAGCCTGGCGCGGCGAGGAGAGAGAACAAGTGGGCTTTATTGCGCGTCGACGAGAATATGACTGCAGGGGTGCCTGTTGGGTGCCTGAACCAATTTCAGCTGGAGGGGGAGGGGCGTGGGTCGCCGCGGATGAAAAAGGGACTGAGACGCACTAGGAGGGGACTAGATGCATGGGGACCTACGCCGCATACCGGAAGAACAGATCGATATGAACTTAAGTATAGAACCAAACGTCAAGTTGGGAATGAAAACTGTCATGTCGGAGACTGCGGAGCACGGGAGGGAGCTAGGCAAGCGAATCTGTTACAGGTTTGTATGCGGAAGACCGTGTCGCATGCTGGGATGTACCACCGTCTGACAAGCCTGGGGAGTCTGGCGAGCAAAGGCGAGAAGAGGGAGGCGGCCGGATACCCCCGCAATGCGCCACGTGAAGGCCGGAGCGACGCCTTCAGGAACGGGCCGCGTTGGGACTTGCTATATTCGCGTACCACCGCCGCGGGGCTGATCGGGTACCAGATCCTATCTCGCTCACTTTGCGAGGGGTCACGCGACGTCCTTTGTCTCTTTCCACCATCGACGAGCCGACAAAACAACGGAAGAGGACGCAGAAGAAGAAGGAGGCGCGACTTGGTTGTGTGCCCCTGGAGCACAGATGGGATCACAACAAATCTGCTTGATCGCGGACGCCCAGGCGGGCAGATAGCTTGCCCCGCTCTGATTGGCCGATAAGTGAACGCCGCCAAGGCTGGCTTCGAGGGCTATAACCCGCCCGCCTGCGCCTCCCCTTCTTTTCTTCCTTCGCGAACGCGCGACCGCACGCCTCGTCCGTCTACGCTGAGGCAAAGTCCTCCGCCCTCATCTGCCAGACCGACCTTGCGCATCCCTCTCCTTCCTCTCCTCTTTCTATAATCTACCCCCATCCGTTACTAACCATGGTCAACGTTACCTACGATAGCTGCAAGTGTTTTTTCCCACACCCATCTCCTCTCTCTTAACTCACCATCCTCGTTCATCCACAGCCGGAGACCTTCAGTGGTTCGACCCCGCAACAGGCGACACCGTTGTCTACAACCTCGGAGACATTGCATGGGTCCTCGCCTCAACAGCTCTCGTCTGGATCATGATTCCTGGTGTCGGCTTCTTCTACTCTGGTCTCCTCAGACGCAAGAATGCCCTCAGCATGATATGGATGTGCATGATGACTGTCGCAGTAGTATCTTTCCAGGTCCGTCCGCTCTTCGCCTGTGGTTGTTGCTGCTCTCGACGCCGTATTGATGACATGTTCACTTGTTGCAATAGTGGTTCTTCTGGGGGTGAGTCAGCTCTCCCTCCCTTGTCTACTGTTTGCTCACGCCCGGACCACCATGTAGTTTCTCCTTAGCATTCAGTGACACCGCAACAAATCACTATATTGGCAACCTACGTGAGTGTTCCCCCGCATTCTATTTCCTCGCATTACGTACTTGGGTTTTCCGTCGAAGCACTGCATATATGCGCGTACTGCCATGCTATGTGCGAAGATTTACTCCAGAACTCGGTTTTAGTTCATCTCCGCGTTTCTTCTTTGCTCAGATACTCTCTACTGGTGCTACGGCACAAATCATACTCGTCTTTTGTGGTCCAACAACGCGAGGATTCTTTTTCCATGTGGCTTGTGCTTCCCTCGCTATGCTACCTGTCTGCCGCCTGTCATAGGGAATTGATGGGCTACTCGCAATTTCACCTAGAGTGCACTTGGGAGGCCGCGCATATAGTCCGCATTGATTGCATCCTTGGGTTCCGTTCACTGCTAGCTATGGATGCATGTCTTTTTCTGCAGTTTGCGATTGTCATGTGTCCATTATGTGGTCAATGTATGATCAGACGGCGGCGCGTGACGAGATGCTTCTCCGGCCTTCTGATGAGGCCGAGTCCTAGACATCTTTCTTCATTCCTCTCTGATCTCTTCACACGCTCGCCTGCTGTCTGTTGCTCTGGTACTTGTCTAGAATGCTGACCATGTTTGTCCAGAATATTTCGGCTTGAAGGGCGTTTTGCAACAACAATCTGTCGGTAGCGTGCGAATCCCATCGCTCGCGTTTTGCGTCTTCCAGTTGATGTTCGCCGCCATTACGTGAGTACTCGCGACACTGATCGTTGGAAGTTGCCTGATTGAACAACCTATGCAGCCCGATGCTCGCCATCGGTGCATTCGCGGAGCGCGCCCGTCTCGGCCCCATCATGGTGTTCGTCTTCGTTTGGTCAACACTCGTCTACGACCCAATCGCTTGCTGGACATGGAATTCTTCCGGTTGGTCCTTCATACTTGGTGGACTCGACTTCGCTGGCGGTACGCCGGTACACATCTCGTCCGGGACTGCTGCGTTGGCGATCTCCATCTACCTAGGCAAGCGCCGCGGGTACGGGACGGAGCGTCTGGCGTACAAGCCACACAACACGAGCTACGTCGTGCTTGGGACGGTCTTCCTGTGGTTTGGCTGGTTCGGGTTCAACGGCGGCAGTGCGCTCAGCGCGAACTTGCGTGCGATTCAGGCGTGCATCGTCACGAACTTGGCGGCGAGCGTTGGTGGCCTTACCTGGATGTTGTGGGTGAGTGGTAGCTGTTGCAGTGCTGATGGGGAGTGTCTGACTCTGTGCCATGTAGGATTACCGTCTCGAGCGCAAATGGTCAACTGTCGGCTTCTGCTCTGGCGCGATTGCCGGACTGGTCGCGATCACCCCTGGTTCTGGTTTCGTAGGCTCTCGTGCGTGTTGCCTCTACGTCCAAATCGCCGTACAACTGACCCAATCAACTTGCAGCTGCGGCGGTTTTGTTCGGCGTCATGGCCGGCACAATCTGCAACTTTGCAACGCAGCTCAAGTTCTACTTCAAATACGACGACTGCCTCGATGTGAGTGTCTGCGATTATGCTGTATTCACTCATCTGACATGACATCCAGATTTTTGCCTCGCACGCTATTGGCGGTGTCGTCGGCAACGTCCTTACTGGTCTCTTCGCGCAATCTAGCGTGGCGGGCTTTGACGCGATCACCGTGATTCCCGGAGGCTGGCTAGATCATCACTATGTGCAGCTCGGCTACCAGCTTGCCGACTCTGTGTCCGGCATGAGCTACTCGTTCGTCGTGACCGTGCGTCTCCTAAGCCTCCGCTTCATTTCCGCAGACTAATGTTTTCTCACAGACAATTATTCTCTGGGTCATGCACTTCATCCCAGGCTTGCGCCTGCGGTGCACAGAGGAGGCGGAGATCATTGGCATCGACGACACAGAGATGGGCGAGTTTGCGTATGACTATGTCGGACTCGATTTCGCGACGGGTCAATTTCATGACGACACGCACTCGACGAACGGCCTTGCCGCGGCTGCGGGTGGCCGAGAACCCAAGCACGAACGCCACGCTGACGTAGATGTGGCCGTCCGCGAACGCGAAGGCAGCACGGGCAGCACGGTGGAGGGCAGCGGGGACGAGAAGACGCGCGACCCTGCTGCATGAGTATAGTGGCGTGAGGGGGCCTCTCGTGTGGTGTGGAAGCATATATAGAGCTTTTTATTTATGTTGGCGAATGCTCTTGCGTTGTCATTCGTTTCTGTTCACAGTATCTGTTCGAGCTCGCACGTAGGTACTCAACATCACTATGTATATCTGAAAATATTCGGTAGACGCTAATACATAGTTTTTCTTCACTTGGCTTGTGGCGTGTTGTACGACGGTGACTGATTGAAAGTATGGGTAATATGTGCGGGGGCAAGCTATGGAGCTCATGGAACGGAGGAGAGGAGTGGCGGCTGCAGTCCCCGAGCGCTTGCAGGGGCCTCGACAGTCGCTTCTTGTCGTTTTGCACTTCGACGGGCTGAGCTTGACTGTCGTTTGCCAGGTCGTTGTCTCTGGAATCCTTATGCTCTGGGTAGGTATATCATGACACTTTTTTGTGATTAAAATGAGTGAGGCTGTCGCTGATCTGGCGAGTTGTGCAATGCCACGGCCGCAAAATATTTGGTGAGCGTTGCTAGCATCGATAGTTTCAAAGCTCATGGAGATTGGGCTGCATGGGATTACTGTGTACGGTTGGCTTGTCCGCGTTCGTGTTTGTTCTCCGAAGGCTGACTTCTAAATAATAGGGAGAACGGAAGATGATCACTCCACTCATCTCAGTCAGTGAATGACTGATTCCATTCTGGCGGTTGAATTGGCCCATGGAGTTGGTATATTAACGAGATGCGCGCTTAACATCAGATCTGTGATCTTTCTTTCATATTCATAATGAAATAACAGGGTAGTTCGTGCCCATGCTTGCAGGGCTTCATGATCAATCTATTGTGGCAATGACCCTGGCGAAGAACGGCATTTTAGAGCCTGTGAAATTTCGCGGACCTTGTTGGATACAGAGACCGCGCGAAGCCGTCATGAGGACATACTGCATCCGCAAAGGCATGCCTGACGGTTGTTCATCAGGGTACTTTCGGCCCGTGAGCTCAACCAGCCGTGACATTTGCGCAGTACTCGGTGTTATTGGAGTTTGCTACTGTAAGTGACGTCTTGGCTACATCATTATAAGCATTTTTCAGTGCGCTATACATAGGACTCCCAGACGCCCTCGGGTGCAACGGGGGCCTTGTCAACCAATCATTGGCTGCATCTTGTTTCTTACCTTCGAAGCTCCTCCATCTTCAAGCCCATGTAGGCACCGTCAGTGGAGTCCCCTCCGCGCCGATTGCCATAGTATAAAGTCATACCTGCCCCATTGTCATGGCGCATTCAGTCTCTCGAAATGTCGTGGCTCTCGCATGCCGTCCAGTAAGTGTGCTTTATTCCCATAGATACGCTCGCTCATATGCATATCTCGTCGTCTAGTCGGTTCTCGCCCGCATGGTTCGTCGTCAACATGGGTGAGTGCATACAGTACTCGATCACACCGCCCTCTATCTCTTCGCCCGCGGTCGTGGTCACATTCACAACTTGGGATATGGGGAGCAGACGAGTGCTGATTACGAACGTCTCTCGCGCTAGGGACGGGAGGCATCTCGATGCTCTTCCATAATTACCCTTACGCGTATGACTCGAAGCCATTGGAGGTCTTCTCGACGATCTTCTTCTTCCTGAATTTAGTTCTCTTCGTACTCTTCAACGTCTTGTTCATCGCGCGGCTTATCATCTGGCCCGAGCTCGTACCGCTAATGGTGTACCATCCCGTACACAACCTCTACCTCGGCTCATATCCCATGGGTCTCGCGACGCTCATTATCGTCGCCAATTCCGTTCTCAACACTGAGTGGGACTGGGGAGGGAAGCCGCTCTTCTGGTTCATATGGGCGGTTTGGTGGTACGACGTCGCAATCGGATTCATCTGCGGATTCGTCCTCATACATCTCATGTACGCCTTTATGTTCTTACCGTTCTAGTTCGTGACACCACACGTCTGCTCACCAGGTTTACACGGCAACATCACGAGCTGAACGCCGCCAACTCGCTTTGGGCGCTTCCCGCCGTCGCACTTATCGTCGTTGCTTCCGCCGGTGGCGTTCTCGTTACGCCCTTGCTAGAAATTGATCCATGGCGCGCCGGACTCACACTCGTTGTGTCCGCATTTCTTCTTGTCGTCGGTCTCATGATCGGCTTCGTCTTCTTCTCGCTCTACTTCCTCAGGCTCATCCTGCACGGCCTCCCGCAGGGCGTCAATGTCCTCTCTGGCTGGATCACGCTGGGTATCGCGGGCCAAGGCGGATACGCAGTGCTTGTGATTGGTCAGGGGCTCGAGGAGTGGCTGCCGGTGCATTATGGCTATTCGAGCTTCATGCGCGGGTCTACGACAGGTTTAACGCTGGAGGCAATATCGGTGTACATTGGGTTCATACTGTGGTCGATCACGACGATGTGGTTCTTCTACAACCTTCTTGCCATGCAGGAGGCGCTCCGGCAGGGATGGTTCCCGTTCAGCCTTCCGTGGTGGGAACTCATCTTCCCCAATGTGCGTCTTCGCCCATGTTTCGTGTTGATGGTGGTATTAAGCCGCATCACGTAGGTCGTTTACGCCAACCTGACGATCGAGCTGTCGGTGGTATTTGACAGCACGTTTTTCCGCGTGTGGGGCGCAATGTATGCCACGGCGACGTTGTTGCTCTGGATCATGGTCTTTACGCTGACGATTCCCGCCGTGATCTCCGGCGAGATATTCGACATGCCAGATATCGAGCAGATTGATGCGGCGGAGAGGAAAGCTGAGACGCAGCACAGCCTGCAGGGAGCGGAACAATGGGAGCAGGGTGAGCTGGAGCGAGATGGGAGTCGCGACACCGTGTCTTGACATTGAAATTAATGAGCATATCACTGTAAATCTCTGAACGCAGTTGTAACGTCGGGAAAAATAGTAGTAAATCGTACATTGGTTCTCGAGGAAGTGTACACATAGAAACATTGTCGAGTGCCTATGGTGAGGACTCGGAAATATTTCAGCATCACATAAGCATGAGCTCAGCTTCGTCCCCAAGTGTCGCCGGTGCGTCTGGGATTCGAGATGAGACGAAAGATGCATTTTCAAGGAAGAATCCCAGCCCGGCCGTAGCACAGCCTTCCTAGTAGTACTACTTGCTGTTTACTTCCTGGTACATCATCTTCTATGTCAAATTCTAGCTACTAGGAACCGGGCCGGTGTCATTCAAACGCGGGCACGTGCGGGGAGCGCGTCGTTGTATGTTCGTTTGCGCTACACTCCGTCGTGTCTATCGTCGCCACAGCACCTACACAGCCCGCACTGGGACAAAAGGACATCCTTATACGCGTATAATTCCTCTGATAAGAACATTCTATTTAGGTGCGTTTGACTCAGCGCAGGACTATGTGGCAGCTTGGCTGACCACAGCCTCGTTGCAATGTCATTCTCAGCTGTTGGGTGGCCGTGCATTACACGTGCAGTTTTGCTGGCCACATCTACTTTTTTCATATATAAAGGATGCGGAAGCCATACCGGCCATCATCCTCTCCAGTCTCGCCAGAATGGGTGAGCCGGTCACTCCCAAGAAGTCGCAGAAACCCCTCGAGACTCACTCTGACACTCCCTTCGTTCATAAGGCTGCTCGTAGTATCTCGCATCTGAATGAGTCACTGCCCGCCAGTCGGCAGACAGTGCTTGGCGATCTGGGAGCATCAATTCCCGAGGTTTCTGTTGCATTTTTCTTCGAAAGCGTCTGCCCAAGAATAACATCGAGGGTCGATTCACTGGTCGACAAGGTCGTGTCTAGACTGACGAAGGGTTCTAATAACATAATCGACGACGAAACTGGACGATGGGTAGACTTTGCAATCTCTCCGGGCGAATCGTCCAAAGGCGAGGATCCAACATTCAAGCCTCTGGAGAATTTAGTGAGAGCTATTGGGGACGCCGCCTCTGCTGAAGACTCAGATTTTACGTGCAATCTCATGTTTGAAAATTCCCCATATGTGTCCCCTGCTTCGGACCATTGGAACTCATCGTCGCGACCAGATGGGTACTTCCGAGCCCGTGGGATGGGGGACGAGCAGAAACCTCACTGGAAGGATATTGCACTGAGCGCAGAATACAAGAAATATACACAAAACGAGACGAGAGATGATGTACGTAGCGTATGCTTCTATGCTGCTTACGAACTTTCAAACGTATTTTCGCAGGTGGTCAGCAAGGTGATTTGGGGGATGCATCACTCGATGAGAGAGGATCCACGAAGACGATTTACGTTCGGACTGACGGTCGAAGATCATGAAATGCGATTGTGGTATGCAAGTCGAGCGGATGTGATGGTTACTCGACCATTCGACTTCTTAACAGTACGTAACGAAGGGCAGCTACATAGGTAATACGGCTGATGACACTGCATGCAGGACCATAGAAGTGTAGTTCATCTAGCACTAGCATTTCTGAGCTCTGGTTCGCAAGATGCTGGCTGGGATCCGACCATGAAGGCGCTTGTGGACGACAACGGTGATGCTCTGCTCGATATTGACGATAGGCCTCGATTCGAGATGACGGTGCGCGAAGAAGATGGATCAGAAGTTATTTTTCGTACAACACGTCTGATCTCTTTCATCGGGACGGCTGCAATGCAAGGGCGAGGTACGCGAGTCTGGGAGGCGAAACGAGTTGAAGATGGCCAAGAGTGTGGGGATTCTGTTGTGCTGAAGGATTGCTGGGTCGATGACGACCGCCTGAGGGAGGGAACGATCATTAAAATGATCAGAGAATCTGATATCGGCGCGGAAGGACGGAATGTACTTGATGAACATCTCCTGACTATCATCTGCCATGGCGATGTACGAGTGGATGGCGATGTTGTCGATCACACACGAGACTTGATGACCAGAGGCAAGGAGGTATCCCTCAAGTCCGGCGAGTTTCGGTTGCGGACATCTCGCACTTCGACGCAGCACGCCGTCAACGGTGAAAATCGAAGCAGCCGCCGTTCGGGTACCAATCGAGGTTCATCCAGCAAACGAAGTTCGGGACGTTCAGGTGCCAAACGTGGATCAAATACTGCGCCGAAGGGTACTAGCAGTGCGGGACATCATCGCGCTGGCGAGTCTACACTTGTCCAGCACCACGAATATTACCAGTATCATCCTAGAGTGCATTATCGTATTGTTGTCAAGGAAGTGTGCACCGCCCTTCATCACGAGGTTTCCTTGTTCCATATTTTCAAGTACCTTTCCCAAACGGCCACAGGTACAGTTATCAACCCACTACATGTGATAGCCACTGACATAATCATTAACCTTCGTTAGTGCTGCGGTTTTTACATGAAGCCGGTTGGGTACACCGTGACTTGAGCACGGGAAACATCCTCATATTTAATGGCAAGATCAAATTGGCCGATTTTGAGTATGCGAAACAAGTAGACATACCAAGCTCACATGACATTCGTACCGTAAGTGTCTCGCAGACCGTCCTATCCTCTCTGATCTCAACAAATCATGTTGACAACTAGGGCACGGCTGATTTTATGGCAGTTGAGGTTGACCTTCAGCATTATTTTTTCCAAGGAGGGCAATCCGTTGACACTATAGGCGATTTCAAACAAACATATCCCATCACAAGAGGACAACGTATTCATCCTCCCAGCGAGTCGACTGCAAGGGTATTCCGGTACAATCCGCTGCACGATTTTGAGTCTCTCTGGTGGATATCAGTCTATTTTGTGGCGAACAAAAAGGTCGAACGCATTGATCAGAAGGCCCCCCCATTTCACAGATACCAACAGCAAAAATCATGGGCTGCGGACATATTTTATTCGTTGCCGGGTCGAAAATCCGCCTTGAGGGTAGATGAGGATTTTCAGCTCATGATTGACAGCCTATCTCCAGGTGTGCGGGGCATCGGTGACGGTATCAATCTTCTCAGGAAGTCCCTCGTGAAACGCTATAGCCGGATAGAAAAGGATTTCTCCAGCGTTGGTCGTACGGCGGCAGGCCATATTCACGAAGACTTCTTTGAGCTTTTCGATGTCATTGCGCAGACCACTGGAGAAATCATTATCGGTCCTCTTTCGCAACAGGATTCAGTTGATAAGGCGACCGTTCTGGCTACGCCATTAGCCACTAGATCAGAGGAGCCACAAGTGCCCAAAAGAGCAAGCGACATTCCCGTAAAGGGTAGCGCTCCTAAGGCTCGCGCGGAGAGAAGGACAGAACCCAATCCACGACCATTCGTACAGCATGAGGCACAACACCGTCCTTTCGGCACGAGAATCAGGAGGAGGGAAGGACTTCCACATCCCATGCAGACTCGTTCTAAGACCAGAGGACTTACACTCAATGAGACTCACCAAACTGAATTCCTTTAGTTTCGGAACAGGTTTGCATCACCAAATCCCACGTACGCCACCATTAGAAATGGTGACTGACCTCTGCGAAATCTGATGGACGTCTCATTTCTGTATTGACTTACACACTAGTATGCTTGATTAAGCTTTCGATTTATATCCCCGCGTAGGCCGGTAAATTATTCCATTCATTTTCGACTTTCAAAGTGGACCCATATCGTACCAGTGGTGGCCATACTCAATACTCGGTACTTAGCGAGCAATTCAATGAGATCTACATTGACATGATATGAGCTGGGACTCGGAGAATGGATTCACGAGGAGATTGGAAACAATGTTAAACATGCTCGCGCCACCACAGCGAGCTCCTTCGACTCGAACTCCTCCTTAAGTTCGAACTTACAGCGCCCCTCTAGCCTTTCGATTTTGTATACTTCAGGCCTCTTTATCAACGATTCGAATGCTAAGTACTGAATGATATTCACCTAATGCATTCCACTCAGAAGATCTATGATTCGGTACATCTTATATTGTTCAAGTCAGCAATGATACACTGGCATTCATTCTGCTTGAGCTCGAGCTCGTGACAGATTAATAGAAGGAGTATGCTAGTGGAGACCAAGTTCGTAAGTTGCTCAAACTAAAATGGCGCGCACATCCATGCTTTACTCTCTGTATCCAGGACGTGGGCGTCGACATCGACGTCACGCCACTAGAACCCGCGTTCATTTCGGATGCATAACTACCTCTACAATCTTCATCAGTTTGCGGGCGTCGTATACGACTTTCCGGGGACTCGTGAACAAGCCGTTGGGCTCGAGTTACGAGATCTCCTCCACTACGAAGTAGCTCAAATTCACTGGTGGAAATGCGTCACGGACTAAGTGGAATTTCAATGCGCGTGTGATACCCGAGACCACACGACAGACCGTGCGAAGCACAAGGAAGTTGTATGCTGTCTGCTTACGCACCCGACCGATCTATGCGGAGTTGGGTTATATTGCGCGGCGCATGTGGATAGACGGGTCGGGTTGAGTGGCCTGCGCCGTATTAGCGTTTCGCGTTGTCGCGACTCTTGCAATGATATGGACGTTCTCGGTGGCGACTATTCTCGCGATCCGCTCATTAGGCACATAGGTCAGGAGACACTTCCATGTAGGACTTCCAATTGCCGCGGTCTGATGACGAACTCAATTGTGCGGAGACTCCTTCCCCAATGCGAGGTCCATCTCTCACACTACACCCAGCGCGAATCTCACAAGATCTCGTCATGCACTGGCATGACTGGGCATGGCCGCACATCTAGTAGCCTTATGTATTGGCGTGTAAGTTATAACAGCGATATGATATATTTGCATCGCCTTCATCACCTACTCCCCTTCCTCTCTTTATCTTCTCCCTGGTCGACAATTTGCGAGCATCTGTGACCTTCGTCGGCTGCGATGTCGGCGGCGAACTTTGAGAAACAGCTCACAAATAGCGGGACGAGCGATATGGAGAAAGAGGTCGGCGTCCAGGAAGAATTAGCTGCCAGCGTGTCCAATGAGGACTTCGATTTGTTTTCATATCACGAACACAATGCTGGCCGCCTCGTCATTGACCCCAAGTATGTACGCCTCTATTTATCTTCACTGCCTACTAAATATCCATACGTGTCTGATGTCACATTCAGAGAAGCAAGAGTTGAGTTTGGCGAGGATGTAGCGAGGAGACTCAAGCTCTCTAGTGACGGCACCAAAGTTCTCTGGCCACAGCCTCGAGATGATCCAGAGGACCCCCAGAATGTGCGCCTATCATATTTTTCATCAACAATTTTAGCATCACTTACTCCAGTTTATCTTGTCTACTGTAGTGGTCGGACAGACGAAAGAATTTCCAGCTGTTTATCATGACGATTGCAGCTATAGTTCCAGATTTTGATTCTGGCATCGGTGGGTGCTTCTTGTGATGTGCTCATTATATGGTGCAACCTTGCTACAGGTATTGCCTCAATTTTTGCTCTCGCCAATCAGTATGACACTACGTCTGGGGTTATCAACGATGTAACATCTAAGTCCGTCATCTTAACACCGTTGTCTGTGGGGTTTCCAATGACGCTGACTGCTTTTCTGTAATCTTAAATCATGATATACGAATATTCTTGCCGTTTGACGCACTGGTACCCGACACACCCATTTGAAATAGCTGGAGCATATTCCTTCTTGGTAAGGATGTGTATATTATGTGCTTTGTCGTGATGCCTAGCTAACTGACTGTTTTTCCCTGAGGCTGGGGAAGCATCTTCGCCGTGATCTTTGTCAGACGATTCGGAAGGTTACCAGTCTTATTTTGGTCCCAGGTGTGCTTGCGCGAGACATAATTAACTTTGAAGCGGTGGTCGCTGACTGATTCGGCGTAACAGATACTCGCGCTTGGTTTTTTGGTTGGATGTACATTCGCTCCGAATCTGAAGACTTTCGCTGGTGTGTTAGTTCAGTCATATCTTTATGTAAACAGTGCTCCTGAACGACTGGGCAAGCTATGCGATGCTTGACAGCATTCTTTGGGTAGGTAACGCTAATTTTGCATTGCCAGATGGCTAAAATATGAAATTTGATTGCAGGACATGTCCTCAAGTCACGGTAGGATCTTTTCTTATCATGTGCTGATCGTCCTGACTCTTTGGGAAAGGGTCTTTATGTCGTGACTGACATGTTTCCGTTCCATCTCCAAGCGCGCAAGGTTCTGTATCTATATAACTCTGGCACTATTGTGAAGATCCTTACACGCATTTCGTAGCTCAATATTTGGACTATGGGCTTTATTATATCCCCATTCCTTTCACCTTTCTTTTTCGGATTTCTGGTCGCGCGCACCAAGTATGTGCTATCATCATTCATAATTTTTGCCATCAAGCTGTCATCCCAGCTGATGTTATCCTCATCTACAACAGCTGGAGGTGGGCTTATGGGATTGGCTCCATGTATGGCGCAATCGTTGTGTTCTTCATAGCATTCTTTGCTGAGGAGACGTGAGTCCGCTAGTATAAATGCGTGGGTTGTTTCCTTGTAATGATTCTTCTTCTAGCATGTACGATCGTACTCTACCCAACCCGCGACCCATTCCTCGACCGGTGTCACGAGTACGATACAGGATTGAGACCCTCACAGGCATCACAGGTGCTCGGATGGCTCGCTTCCGGGCTGGCTGGTGTGAAGCCGCTTTTGGATCTTTGAATCTTATATGGCGTCCTCATCTGTTAAGCATTTTGATTTTTGAGGTGCGCACAATGATGTGTTCATCCGAGTACGGTATAAAAGTGTTTGACTTCGGATAGGCAATGGTCTTTGGATTCGCTATCGGAATGAATGTGCGTGTACTCGAGCTTTGCTGTAGCGTCGTATCAAGTTCTTACAAACTATTCCAAATAGACCACAAATGAGGTTTTCTTTGGACTTCCGCCGCCGGTCGGGTACGGATTTACTGAATATGGCATCACGGGGATGTACGGAACGCCCATTGTATGTCTTCCCGTTGGGCTCTGGCCAGGTGCTATTTGGGGCTGGTTCACGATACGATTCATTTTTTCAGGTAGCAGTGTTCGTCGGAGAGCTCATCGGTCGTTTTCTCAACGATTGGATCATGGACTTCTGCACGCGTCGTAACCATGGTGTCTTCCAAGCGGAAATGAGACTCTGGTAAATCAGCTACACTCCAGAAGTTTATGCATTCAGCAGCTGACGTACTTACCTTATGTGAATGCGGACAGGGCCTGTTATGTAGCCCTTCCACTCTATATCTGTGGCTTCGTCGTCTTAGGTGCTGGATTGCAAAAACATCTAGGAGTTGGAGCCCTCGTTATGGGATGGGGAATCGGTCAGACCGCAGTCATGATCATTACAGTGGCTGTCTGTAAGTACCACGATAATTCACGAGACCCTTGACGGTGCAATGCTGACGTGTGAGTAGATGCGTACTGTAATGACTGCTTCCCATCAAGACAGGTAGTGCAGTAATAATTATCCCATATATCGTGAGCTGATGGGTGTCAAATCGACATCTCACGTCAACAGGGTGAGGTATCTGCGCTTGTCAATCTAATGCGGACAATGGGAGGGTTTGGCGTTGCGTATTTCCAAGTTTCATGGGCGTCGAAAAATGGTGCCTTGCAAACATTTGGGGTGGAAGCAGCCATTGTATCAGGGCTCTTCATCTTGGTGATACCTACATTGCAAATAGCTGGCCCTCGGCTCAGAGTAAGTGGCATCTACCCTGGTTGACTCAACGCTGATGCAAATGTATGGTCCCGTTCTCCAGCAAAAGTACTCACTATGAGCGCAACCGAGGCGCAGAATTCGCTAGCCTGGGTAAGCAGTACATCTTATACCTACAGTACGATTCAGCTACCTATATCGATCCAACGAGTCACTTAAATGATGTCTCTTTGAGCATGCATTATGCTGTCTGACATTGCCATCAAGTTTCAAGCAGTAAGTACACAAAGAAGGCTGCAAATATTCACCCCAGACAGTGTTGGACGCTAAGCGGAGAATCGACTCTGAAGGCGAAAATGTATCAGATGGCTTGAAGATGAACGCAGACGACTCAGGTTGAATTACCCTTAAATATGTACCCTTCACCTGCAATGCGGGCACAATAAAGAGGAACAGTGCGGCGACAACGGCTGCCTCCACGCCAAATGTTTGCAGTGCACCGTATCGTGTTGCCCAGGGTACTTGGAAGTACGCCACACTGAATCCGCCCAGAGTGCGAGAGAGGTTGACAAGAGCAGAAATCTCTCCCTATGCAATGCTGATTTGAGTACGGTATCATGCCGATGAATGGTGATATAATGCATACCTGACGATCGGGGAAACAGTCATTACAGTACGCATCTTTACGTGGTGTTCGATGAATCGTCGCGGTCGTAAGACAAGCAATAACACTTACAGACAGCGACGGTGTTGAACACAACCACGCATTGTGCGATGCCCCATCCCAGTATGAGTCCTGAAACATTAAGGTGCTCCATTGACCATCCGAGTACGATAAATCCGGCGATATATAAGATAACGGCAACGTAGCAGGTCCTAGACGAGACCATATATTTGTATCGTCAAATCCTCCGTGAGAGAAGATAACCCAGCTTACCATAGACGCATTTCAGCTACAAAAACTCCGTTATTTCTTCGCACACAGACCTCCATGACCCAGTCGTTTAGAAAATGGCCGATGAGTTCCCCCAGAACGACGGCAATCTAGGGCCAGTGAAAATTTAGTGTTGAATCGGAAGGCAAATTACGGCATAGAACATACTATTGGGGTACCATATGCTCCAGCAATTGCGTACTCGCTGAAACCATAACCCACTGGAGGGGGATCAGCAAGGAAAACAGCATTGGTCGTCTGACGGAACGACAGTCAGCATATGTACTACATTCTTCAGGCCAGCGTACATTGATGCCAGTGGTGAATCCGAAGATCATCGCCTGATTTGCAAGGTGAGTTGAGTGAAGCCTCCCAGCTATGACTACGCGCCTCAAAAATTAAGATGCTTAAGATGTGAGGTCGCCACACCAGATTTGCACAAGCAAGCACAATAGCCCTCCAACCCGCCCGAAAGCGTGCCATGCGCCATCCTGTGACTCCGACCAATGTCTGGAAACGATAGAGCAAACGGGATCGAGGACGAGGAATTGGGTTTGGGTTAGATAGCGTACGGTCATACATGCTGCGGATATCGAGATGAATTTGAACAAATGAGCTCATCGGGTAATTGGTGGGCCACACGTACGTTTCATCCAGAAAGAGTGTGATCATGAGCACCACGAAGGCTCCATAGAAGGAACCAGTTCCATATGTCCACCTCCAACTAGACGACAGTTCAGAAAAATAGTGAGTAAGAAGCAGAGACCACAAGGAAATAGACTTGCTTTGCGCGAGCCACTAGGAAGCCAAATGCAAACGGCGAAAGGAAGGGCGAAATAATGAAACCCATTGTCCACACGTTAAGCTATGTCAGAAGCTCGTTGATTCAAATTAGCCTTCAGCGAATTATATGGATCATTACCTTCCTCGCTTGCAGATGAAAGGGAAACAAATCCGTGACAACGTAGAGGCCCTGAGAATCAAGATAGGAGTAAGTTGCACAGTAGAGATTCATTACGGACGCATACACACCGTGACTTGGGGGCAGGTGCTGTCACGTCATTACAGACAAAATGTAGCAGGATCAGAGAAAAGAGACAACTATGCGCAGCCAATGAAAATAGATGGCACGAAACATACCCGAAAAATGCAGTTAGACATCGCATAGCTGCAACTCAACTGAGTCCACAGCCTACGCGCGAGAAATCGAACCACGTACCCGTGAATGTATTGAGGTTTGGTGCAAAGGTACATCCTATGAGGAAGCCCAATGCTAGTACCTATGCATACATCGTAAGAATAGGTCTCAAACACTTAGCATAGGACACCTGGCATACCTGGGACCAGAACAATATCGGTAATCTCCCGTAGCGACGCATGAGCATCACGGCGAATATACTACCCCATCCTAGTAGTTTGTCAGATGGAATTCAAGCGAGTGGTATGATCGACGGCCACTTCATATCTGATCGAATACCAAACAGAAATCGCGGACATACCAAGTAGGAAGATACTCCAACTTTAAAATGCAGCATACACCTGATGAGCTCGGCTGAACCGGCGGTTGTATAAACTCACTTCGATGTTAAATCGTTGATCACACCGGACGTGGTATCATACTGCTTGGCTAGCGCAAATATAGAAGCAATGCCTAAGATTGAAGCGAAGGGATATCATTTCGGGCTCAAGGGAGGATCCAAAATACACAAAGCACATACCAATACCAGAGTCAAAGTCAGGAACGATAGCTGCGAGAGTGATAATGAAGAGCTGGAAGTTCTTTCGCCTGTCGGACCACTAAAGGGGCCGCTATAAGTGAGCCCATGCAGTTGTACTGCGGAAGTTCAGCTTACGTTCTGAGGGTCTTCAGGGTCATCGGTAGGTTGCGGCCATAAGACTTTCGTGCCATCGCGCGAAAGCTTCAATCGCTTCGCGACCTCTTCTCCGAACTCGATTTTTGCTTCCCTTGTCTGATCTTCAGCCTTGGAAGTCGAGAATTGGAGTTAAAAACGCACTCCGGGTCAAGAACGAGTCGCCCTGCGTTGCGTTCATGATAGGTGAATAAGTCTATGCTGGTGTTGATGTCCGACAAAGCTTCATGCTCGTGCACAGTGATGACCTTAGCGTCATTCACGTCCTTCTCTATGTCTTCGATGCTATATGCAGCCGCCTCCTTCGACTCAGGGTCGGTCAGCGACATGGTGCGAGAAGTTGACATATGGAGAAATGTGATGTTGAAATCACAACGGACCCGCTGTCAGCCTGAGAGGAAGCGCGCAGACAGGAAATCTGGAGGGGAACGAGCGAACGAGGCTGGAGCGATCGTGCATTTAATTATACGGCAAACCTCTAGGGCAGTGATGGGCCTGTGATTGGTGTACTGAGACGGAGGGAATGATAGGCCACATTCCCAATGGAGTGAATTGAGTGTATCGTCACGGATGCCAAACTCCGTCAATCTCCTCGCACGGAGTGTAGATGTTGGCGGAGACAGTGGATACCTCGGGAAAGAAACCATCCAAGGCGCCACGGCGAGTGGGAAGATCGACGAGCGTGAGCTAGTACCGGAGAAAAAAAGTTGACCTAACATTTTAAACAGACTCATCTAAGGAAGAGATATCACACATGCTCAGGCTGTTGCCTTCATCTAAGAACATACCGCTTGTTTGTAGATCGTGTTCGTTTGCATACTTGAGCACCTCGAAGGCGCGTGCATCACCTCTGCTGTACTTCAGCATTTTGAATAATTGGGAGAACTTCCAGACATACTAGCATAGTTCTCTCACGCGGCATTAAGGAAACCCGTTGAGCGTAACAAATCGAACGGAATGACGGAACGCGTATGATTGCTTCTTACGCTAGGAGTGTCATCTGGAGGAAAGGAGTAGCTGATCTGAGAGATATCAACTTTGCCGAAAATTACAGAATATATGAGACACATAGTGTACTCACTAGCGTCAAGATAAACATCTTCGTGAACGCGACAACCACGCCAAGGCACTAGAGACTGGAGTATACGAGTGCCTGCGAAGCGAGCGCGATCAGTATCCAATTGAGAGTTTCTAGAAGGAGACCAGCCATTTCAGATGGTCACAGGGCTTCCGGATCTCCCAGAGTCGTGGGATTCGCCAGTATTTGTCATGGCCCCGCGACGAACAGACTGAACGTAGGCAATAGCAAGTCTTCTAAGTATGTAGCGTAGATTTCATGAGTCGGACTTCGTGAACAGTTGATATGATGGCAGCAAAGAGAGCATACTATAAATCATACTCGCGTTGATCCACAAGATCCCTGAGAATCGTAAGAACCTTGGGTGGAGAAATTGTCCCTGCTACACCCAAAGACACCGGATCAGTAGCCCAACGCCCATTAGTGGATGCCAGGCAGAGAAGTTGATGGAATGCGATTCGAGAATCATAAAAACCAGGGTTTGTGTCTACGAGTAAAGCAAGCATTCGGGACACAAAGTGCGTCTCCCGCAAAAGAAGAGGCCCACTCTGCAGAGTAAAGCCGCATTATCCTGGTACTTGAAGCGCCAGCTGCATCAATGCAGCTACCACGGTATCTCCCTGATGAAGACTTTGAATTTGAACTTCTTGACGCCGGGTACTGCGAGTCGCAGCGGCCCCATGACTGCTCACGAGGACGTATACACCGGACAGAAATATGAATCACCTGGCTTAACCGAGTTGATGAGGACGTATTTCGCGAGCGCCGAGGGGGGTCTTAAAGCCACTTACACGTCGCCTCGCACCCCCTGTTGTGACGGACGACCGGTAGAATCTCTCTCGCATCACCCACCATCGAGCATGAGCTTGTACTTGAGCGTGTATAATGGGCGAGACCATTATGCGCGTACCACCGCCCGACCGAACGATATTGCACCAAGAAACTCAGTGGCTGCCCGAGCCCGTGCAATCCCGAGCCCCAAATTTTTGCTTCACCCCTGAACGTGCAATACCGGACCCTCTTTGATTTCTTCCGTTGGGTGGCAAACAAAGGTGTGTCAGATCCGCACCGCTCTTTGCAGCAAAGACAGGACGATCATGAGTCGGGAGAATTCGGCCACACAGAGCATGATGCTTCAGAAGATGATAGGAGCATAATAGGAGCCTTTCAGATCGTTTTCGTTCTCAGTAATGGGGCACGTTGAGGCCGCGCTGGTGGAGAGGGCAGAACCGGGTCTGTGCTGTCGCTGCAGACTGACGCCATCGCACGAATCTTGCCTGTCGAGGAAAGAGCGGGAATTGTTCAGCGACTCGAGTCATCATCCTCGAGCTGAGGAGAACGCAAGGCGATTTGTCAGCGGAGGAATTGCGAATATTGGCACCCGACCTGCACCGGCGGTCGGGAGAGGGCGGAACGCAGTGCGTTATCTTCCATATTATTAATTTTGTAGCCTATCCACTTTGCAGGATGACCTAGGCTGTCTGCTTATTACTCAGCGCAGATGAAAGGTTATCCCGGAAACTCCAAAGCTGCGAGGCCGGAGTAGGACTAGCCATCTCCAGAGCGTTGACTCGGCTCTCCATAGACTTTCATCTCACCACCAGCATAGACTATAGAGCTCGGTGCCCTCCGTTTCGTCGTTCCACGGCTGCTCAGTATATATTCCCTTTCCCCTCTCGGCTTCCTTCTCTTTCCGATACCACCACCCAGTCACACTAATCACAATGGCAGCGCTTTGCACCGACTTTTTCGCGCTAAACTACGATGTGCTCTCCCTCGTGCTCGCCCTCATCTCTGTACAAGATGCCAAACAGCTCGCGCTCGTCTCACACCAGGCATACGCGCTCGCGATGCCACGTATCTTGGCCGACGTCTCTCTCGGTGGCGCGTTCCACAAACCCTCCAGTATTCCTGCCACTCGCCAGCTCACCGGTTTCTGTGCATTCATGCTCGCTGATGACCGAGAACGCCTCCCATGCCTGCAAAGTCTCGAGATAAGGCGCGATGCTGTGCGGAGCAGAGTGGGCGGTGTTTGGGCGGTCGACTCCCGGTGCGTGGAGCTCTTGTCAGAGGTGCTGGCGCGGGCAGTGCATCTTCAAAAAATCACGATCTGGAGCTTTGACTCTCTGGTGACCGCGTACCCACTCATCGTGGATGCGCTCGGAGGCTGTGCGCGTCTACAGACCGTGTGCCTGGGTGGTGATATCGCCCCCATGTCCACCCTAATTCGCGCTTTCCCTCACGTCCGGACTTTGCAATTCGTAGACGGCCGAGCGTCCTGGGGACCACGCTGGGATACGTGCGTTACACCTGCTACCGGAGAAGCCTGGCCGAACCTGGATCACGTCGAGTCCGGGTTCCCTGTTCTTCCGCTTGCCAAACCCGTTCGACGCGTAGATATCCGCAATCCTCTCTCGGCATATGGCGATCACCTCGAGAACGCACTGGACTATATTCAGGCGACAAGGCCGGTCGTCTTGTCATGTGTAGTGGACATCTCCGTGCTCGACTCCGAGTTTATCGCGCGGCTTCCGGAGGTCGCGTGCAACTTGAAGTACCTCGAGCTGATCATCCACGGCTGCGAGTCGCTCGCAACTATCACAGTATGGATGGTACGTATTGTACTGGCCTTCACGCGGCACTTACTAATCACTCCTACAACCATAGACCCGGATTGCCGCCCTGTTGTCCCCGCTCCCACTCCTCGGTCTCGCGCTATACAGCAGCACCCCAGCCAGCTTCCCTTCACCGTTCTCCTCTCCCGCCGCATCCCCGCCTTCCTCCCCTCGCCTTTCCCCTGTACCTGACGCCCCCGCCATCGCCGACCTCAGCTTCGCTGCCCTCGATTCTGATGCAATTACCCCAGTGGCAGTCACAAACCGCTCACAACCTCCCACCCTGCGTACAATCGCACGGGATGCGGCGTCTGCCATCCCATCGGTTCGCTACGTCGCGCTGCAACCTGCTGGGCCCACTACGCGTAACGCGTACAAGCCCGAGTGGTTCGTCGCCGAGCGTCCGCGTAAAGGTGGTGCGATCCGGGTACGGGAATTGGGCGAGCGCGAAGGCGTACTGGTAGGGCAGATGTTAAGGAGGTTGGACGTACATGATTGATGATCCAGTTGGTATTTCGTGGGTGCCTGGACGTTGGGAGGCTAAGTGCTGCCCTAGGCCTCGTCTGGCCGGCCGGCCATCGCGTCTCAATATGTTTCGTTGTCTGTCATTCTTCCAATATGCCCTCGATCTAGAATTACTCGTATTATTCATGGGTCTTGCTGCCCATGTAATGGTGCATATAGAGATACGTATAGTGCACTGATGGCTCTTCTGCGCATAGTAGACGGTGGTTCATGTATTCGGCCTCACGGTAATAAGGAAAATAACATTGGTTATAAGAGACAGATACGAACGTTGCTCTCAATACAGCATGACTGAGCCGGTAATTGAGAAGGTCATAGCACACGTGAGCATCTATCTACATTACCGTACACCATCCTCTATTCTCTTGTTGTTGTCGCTCCCTTCGCTCTCTTTCCTGTCGCTCTCTTTCCTGTCGCTCTCTGTCCTGTTGGGCGAGCCATTGTCGTCTCAAGTCCCTCTGGCGCTCCTCCCGCCGTTCACGTTCCACTCGCTCCTGCTGTCTCTGTGCCCTGAGAATGCGCATTTCTCGCTCCCGCTCTTCGGCATCGCGCCATATTTCTCGTGGGTATACTGGTTCGTTTCCCCAGAGCGCGAAGGCCGGCCTGGGATTGGGCGCTAGATTGGCGCGCTGTCGCTGCTCGCGGAGGCGTGCCGCCTGTCGGAGGAGCTCTCGCTGCTCTGCAAGATCTACGCGGAGCTCGAAAATTGGGCCTGCGTCGTGTATTCCGCCGTGCACCTCATGCATGTGGGGATAGATTGTATTCCGGGTAAAAATGCCCATGCAGCGCCAGCAAATGTGTGCGCCGCATCTGCGAGTCAGAAAACGTCAGTAGTGTATCCAGAGCGATGCGACAAAGGGGAACCAACGTACTTGCAGGACATGTGATTACACCCTTCTAGCTTCTCGATGAGTACCTGACATTGTGGACATTTCTTCACGCGACCACCCTGCTCTGCGATCCACTGGTCGTTCAAGCGCTCTTGCTCAGCCGGATCGCTGCGTGCTTTGTATTCTGCACAACTCATGTCCTGGTGTGCATCCTCATGACAAGACGCACAGACTGTAGAGAAACACGAAGGACATTGGAGCGCCCTCGCCACAGTCGGGTTCGCGGAGCGATAAATTTGATTGCAATCCGGTGTCTTGCAGTATTTGAAGTCTCGCGGGTGCGTCGCAACGTGTGCGTTAAACACTACTTCAACTAAACGATTGAAGGACGCAGGAGGCAAGAATTTCTGGATCGTGGGGATCGCGATCGGAACACCACACTTTGCCTCATCTCCCATACAAGTAAGCGGGAAATTGGTAGAGTCGACCGCACTCACAAGGAAGTGCCGCAAACACGCTGTACAATAAATGTGTCCACATCCGAGCTCAAAGGGAGTCGACACGTCGTCGTAGCATATTGGACACGTCTTGTCTGTCGAGGAATGTGCTTGAGAAGCAAGCACCGAGTTAAGAGACTCGTGAATCAGACGGTCGAAGGCATGTCGGGGCTCGTCTCCGCCTGTGATAGTAACCCGGCGGGAGGCTATGTCGAACCGAACGCTATCTTCTCCAAATGTCTCCTTTAGCTCCGGGATTCCGCGCCGCACGAAGAACCCAACAGATTCCCTCTTCAACACCGTTGACCATTCCGTCGAGGCTAAACGCTCCAGCTCCGCCTTTATCATCTCCCGAGCCTGTTCTACAGCCACTGGTTCCCCGTATAGCTTCAGAGCCTGTCGTCTCCAGTCGGCCCGCAAATATGCACCCGACTCGATGAAGACAGAACGCACGAACGCATTTCTCGAGAACCCGAGCGAGCGATGCCAACCTGCGACCTTTTCTCCGGTCATCAGGCTTTCGACTCTGACCTTGAGGGCCCCGGTAGCTCGCTTGTCGGATCCAGACACGCGGATGCGAACAAACCTGTCTTGTTCGTGGATGAACAAGTTGCACGCCTTTCTGTCTTTTATACTCCCAACGAGTGAGGCCCACTGGGTCTTTTGGGCCTGGTATTGCTCTGGAGGAATAGTAATGGTGTACTGCAAGGAGTCCGGCAATCGGAACCAGAAACGCGAGTTCCCGATGCAAGGAAATTGCTTTCCTGCGAGGGACTCTTGAACCTCATGCGCGTCATCCCAAGATGCGAAACGCGCTTCTGCGGAAACTGTGCCATCGACACGAGGGGCTTGTGATGTCAAATCTTGCAGCTTGTGCGGATGAGAGAGATTCATGCGATTGCGTAAAAAAGCGACAACATCGTCTACCGTGTCCACCCTGCTAGATGCACCCATGAGACGCCGTACCAGATGAGAGCCAGTGAACTGGGTGACATCGTCATCAGTAACGGTTGTAGGAAGATTGCTGATCTTAATTGCATTCGGCCGGAAGCTGCGTACAATACGTCCAGGAGGGAGAGTATTCAATTCAACTCTGACCTTGCGGCCGGAGAAGAATTGCTGGTTTAACACCGGGACCTTACGCTGAGCAGAAGGGATATCGTCAAACTCTGCCACATACTGGGCAGATGGCGCCCGCCAGGATATTGTCAAGGTTGTGGATGGTTTTGCTGCAGTGGCAGACATGCCGCCCGGACTGTTATATGCGCCTACTTCGAAGGTCAGCGTTGTGTCCCTAAACTCGATGTTGTCTAACCCGATGGCCAAAGTCTGACCAGACTCAGCGTCCGTCACAACCTCAGCTTCCAGCTTCCCGCCGGGTGTCCTCTTGGTACCCACAACATGGAAGTGGCCCACCTGGATACCCTGCTGTGTGAACAGCGTGCGTACCTCGTCTTCACGCGCGTCGCCAGGCAGATTCTTAACGCGTACAACGCAGGACTCAAAGCCTGTAATTATGCCGCGGATGCCGAGTCCTGTTTCGAACGTAACAATCGATCCAAGTACAACGCACTGGCTTGTCATTGCCGCTTCTTCTCTAGCAATCTCGGCCATGCGCGCTCGATGCTCGGCCTCACGCACAGCACGCTGTTCATCCTGTACTTGACGCGCTTCTTCCCTGATTCTTTCTTGTTCTGTCCGAATGACCTCCTCTTGAGCTGCCTGAGCCCTTCGAGAGGCTTCCTCTCTCTCAGCTCTCTCTTGTTCACGGCGGCGGGCTATTTCCTGAACCTGATACATTCATGAGACATAGGGCACTGTATTGTGCCAAGGCTTTACCTTAGGGTCATGAACGAAATGGCATGCATCGCCCCTTGGACACGACCCAGCTGCCCATGCGTGACAGGGCTTCCCACCGCGCTTGACGCCACGACGCGCGACGGGCACGTGTATCTGGGGGGGCTGGTCACCGACAACCTGCGGCGAGGGTGAGCCCTCCGCCTTCTGGATATTCTTCGAGCGCGGTGGACGTGTTGTCTTTGTCTTTGTACGTTCTTTTACAGTAAGAGAGGCCTAAGAAAAAGAGCATATGTAAGACGGAGTATTCGCTACTGCCAATACCATACCGGACTGCTGATGCCTTGATCATGACTAAACTTGCATCCAGCCCCGTAGCGACATTCACCTTGAGCAAAGAAGCGACAAGGTTTCCCCTTCTGTGCGTTGGTGGACATGGTGGTTGAAAAGCAAAGCTGGATTCATTAAGGTTCTGCGGGTGGTATAAGCGGGAAAGGCGCTCAAGCATGGCATCCACACAGAAGTTCCTAAACAAGGAAGCACGATGCCAAGTACTTATGGCATAGCACTGCCCTCCATTTCGAGAAGTGACAGCAGAATACTGATATAGCTATACTTGCGAAACGCATCTAAGACATTGTGACAAGTTGCGAACGGGGAAAATATCGTAATCTCTTCGGATGCGGTTTGCTTGTTCTATCGCATATGATCAGGTGGAATTGCTGGCGTAAATATGGCGCTGACCATGAAAATCGCATTATGCATCGTGAACTGGTTCAAAAAGTTGTGTGGTTTCAGCAGTTCGAGTCGAGTCCGAGTCGAGCACCAACGGCACTCGGCAAGAATTGCCCTCACGAAGCGGGAGATTCAGGCGAGGCAGGACGAGGCATATGATTGGATGATTTGCACGCACATATGATGCACCTGAAGTGTAGAGTGACTCTCGTGCTTTTGGCTACGGGATCTGCAGCTTGAGTGTATCTCAGAATTTGGACACAATCTGTAGATATGAAGTCAAAGGTCAGCACTGGGTCAACACCTGGCAGTACACTGCGAGCCGAAGATGACAGTGTATAATCCCCACTTGCACATCCAATGGCAGATAAGCGACATGGAGTTCGCCGGCAATCGTTGTGACTTATGCGACATAAAGTTAGAGTTCGCCAGTCGTGTCAAACATAGATTTTGAGTCGATGGAAAAACAGAGTCAGCTCTACATAGCGGTTCCAGAAGCATAGAAGAAAGGTGCCGTTTATAACGTCTTCCCAACATTTTTAAGTTACGGTAGTTTCTGTCAGCGCTTACGTGATTATACTTAAGTATTTATTTTATGGCTTGACAGTCAGCTTGCAAGTCAAAGGCTTTAATTTTGTCCTTTGTCGCTTTACGTTCACTTTCACCACATGCGCAGCTCTGATATGCATACCGCCCATCATGTCTTCTGTCTTTGCCCCAGAGAACTCTTCTGCGTAATATCTACCAGGAGTCGCTTTCAGATGTCGTGTGCTGCCTGAATTCTTAGAGGAAGTATCGTAAAATACTCACGCAGACCTGACAGCCAACGTTCAAGCAACAACTGGGCAACGATTGGACCACCGAGCCAGTACTCGAAATCCCCAATCTTAGGAAGCTTCAGTGACATGTGCTTTGCACATGGCCCGTAGATCCTGTCTCTAGCTGGACCTATGGGACAGTGTCTCTAATTCAATTCTTGATCACCATGTTCATCGGAAAGAAAGGAGTCAGGTTCTGTCATTTTTACCCCAGAGGAAATTGTCGTAATGGGACGAAATGCAAGTTTAGCCATGATTGTAGCGTAAGTCTTCCGATGGGTCTCACATTTGCGGGCTCTCAATCTACTCATTCGCAGGAGAATCAGGCGTGGATCAGCTCCGCATCCTATGCAGGCAAGGCGGTCGAACTCAATACAGGATTAGGATCACAGATCGCGACGGGTACATCAATCGCGGCGGAGTTGCGTCGTGTGCAGGATGAGGTAAGAGGAATTATGGAGGAAGAAGCCAGGAAAGCGAAGCTCGAAGAAGATCAGGCTATCTGGTTGGAGTTGGAAAGAGTGCGACAAGAAACGCGACGGGCCCTGGAGGAGCAAGAGATTACCAGAAAATTGCGGATTGAACAAGATACTCGTCGGTCAGAGAGCCGAGCAACACGTAGAATTCAAGAAGAACACCAAGCCGCCTGTGCAGCGGAATGGAAAGCACTCATGGCTGAGTCTGCCAGAGAAGAGGCAGGGAAGATCTTCCAATGCGTTGTGCTTGGATCGCTTGTAACACTGGGTGCAGGTCTCGACATCCGTGAGGTGATCACGGGCTTCGAGTCTTGTACCGTCCATATTAAAGGTTTACCTGGCAATGCGACGAAAGGCGAAGTGTGCGCCCTGTTTATACAGCAAGGCGTCGACGCTGGGCGATTTTATCTTTCAAGCATGAAGAAGACACCTGCCGGAAAACAGGAGGCGGAGGTTGTCACTGATATAGATTCCGGGAAGATTCTTTCCGCTGGGCTTGATGGGACCGAGTTCAGAGACGAGGTCCTCTCATTTGGCATGATCGCGGAAAACAAGTCAGAAGGAATGATGTCGAACGCTGCACGATCTGTCACCGTTCTAACGATATCCTTCCGATCACCTTCTGCGCAATATGTAGCAGATTTCCCAGACATGGCAGCCGCTGAATGTAAAGTAGGAGAGCTGACTGGGAAAATTTTTTGTGGTCGTAAGGTCCAGGTAGAAATGAATACCCTTCCTCCTGGACGCATACTATCGATGTTTCGACCGAACTCGATCAAGATTCGTAACCTCTCGCCCACAGTCACCGATGGCGATATCATTCAGTTCACTGGTTCTTCCTCCGTGCGACGCCTTAAGGAAATACCGTACAGTACCGCCGGAGCTCGAAGCTTCCTACTCGAGCACATGGAAAACATCAAACTTTCATCTACACTTGAAAATTTGACATTCGATAGCGACCGTACTGACGGCATAGTTTCTGCTGAGGCACGCTTCGCATCCTGGGAGGATGCGCACAGACTACATGAATCCCTTGCCGGAAAGACATTCTCATGTATCGGAAACTCGCGTTTTTGGTTGCGATTGCCAAGCTCACTACAATACACTATTATCATTCCTTCCGCGCAATATCATGCTCAGAGAGCTCAATGGACATCGCTCGTTGCGAGTCTTATAGACAAGAAGACGTGCAACTTAACATTCCATGAACACGACAAGTTCGTCCGTATCCGCGTGTCAGGGTCCGACAAGCGAGCGACCGGGGCCCTCAAGGTCAAAGTCGAGAACCTGGCCTCGGGGGAGAAGGTCGCCGGCTGGCATCGATCGCTCGGATTCTCAGGAACCGCGTTCGTGCATTCTGTCTTCGCCGAGTCGGGTGCATACTTGCGAGCAGACTGGAGACGACAGGCTCTGAAGGTATATGGGGGACCAGCAGCCGTAGAACAGGCTCGGGAGATGATAAAGGCAGAGCTGGAGCGTCTTGCTTCGAAGGAATGGTCGACGGTACTAAAGAAGGGATCTGTCGGATTCTTCCTACGACGCGGGATACCAGAGCTGAAGGAGACATTTGGAGAAGATAGCGTTCGATTTGATATAGCATCTCGCCGGATTACCATCATAGGCGGAGACGAGCTTAGGCATGCTTTCGACCGTCTAATCCAAGAGTCTTTCAATTCGATACTTACCTCTCAAGCACATTCGTCAACAAACGAGACGTGTCCAATCTGTTACGACGATGTCTCGATCCCTTTTCATCTCGGATGTGGACATACCTATTGTACAGCGTGTCTGCGGCACTTCCTTGTGAGCGCGGTCGACTCTACCAACTTCCCGCTTACTTGTATGGGAGATGAGGCAAAGTGTGGTGTTCCGATCGCGATTCCAACAATCCAGAAATTCCTTCCCCTTGCGTCATTCAATCGTTTGCTTGAGGTGGTATTCGCTACGCACGTGGCTACTCATCCTCAAGATTTCAAGTACTGCAAGACACCGGATTGCAATCAAATTTATCGCTCTACGAACCCGACTGTGGTGAGGGCGCTCCAATGTCCTTCATGTTTCTCTACGGTCTGTGCGTCCTGTCATGAGGATGCACACCAGGGCTTGAGCTGTGCCGAATACAAAGCACGCAGCGATCCAGCTGAGCAAGAACGCCTGAATGATGAGTGGATCGCGAAGCAAGGAGGATGCGTCAAGAGATGCCCGGAGTGTCGAGTACCTATTGAAAAGGTAGATGGATGTAATCACATGTCCTGCAAGTACGTTGATTCGCCTCTGTCACATCACTCTGGATACAATACTGACGTTTTCTAACTCAGATGCGGCGCACACATTTGCTGGCGCTGTATGGGCATTTTCGCTTCTGATAAAATTTATGACCACATGCAAGAGGCGCACGGTGGAATCCATGGAGCGGATGCGATTCCAGAACTGCACGCTGATGTAGCTGAGCAGGCAGAATTGCTGCGACAAGCTGAACGCCTTCGAGAAGAGCATTGAGAAGTCCGATGTATGCGTGCTTGGAGTTAGTGCTCAACGAACGAAAGTGGCGTTTTGTAGTATAGCGAGTCTTACTGTCGCTTGGAATTTGAGTAGAAAATACCACATGCGGAAGTCAACAGGCACACAATTTTGATATTCCAGAATTCAGTCACTGTGTGGAAGCGGTATCTCAAGCATATCCGACACGAGGGAGAATGCTACGTGTTATATGACGTTGCTAGCAACGTATGCGAGATAAACATGATCGAAATCGTAGAGATTGACAGAGCGTTGAATTGAACGAGTTCTGAATCAGCAATCTGGGGGAAACTAGTATTCGTCTCATATATTCTAGAAAATGCATAAGCTTGCATACTGAATAATCGTCAACTCCAGAATATGTCACTGCATCGTTCCGCTGTATCGTGAGACGTGTGTGCGATGCGAGAGAGAAAACATAGACAAGCTACATATGGTAACAGTCCGCCTACTGCCGAAGCGTGTTTTGTAACGCGTGATGAACCTTGTTACCTTCGTACGGCGATAGCTCCAGGGCCTGGATATCGCCATCGGACCGCGTGATACAGAACCAAGTGAGCGGAATCTCCTCTTCCTCCTGACGTCCTCGAACTAGACGACGATACTTGCATTTGGTAGTGGATATTCCCACATAGACAAGGTGCGGCAGCTGGGCAGCGAGTGTGGAAGCAAACATAGATTTTTGAGACGCAATTGAAGGGGAACGACCATACGCAACATTGAGGAACAGTCCGAGCCCCAGGAGTGGTACGGCGCGGAGATTTATAACACTGGCAAGCTGGATAAAGCAAGCACTGATTAGTAGCCCGATACAACGATTGATATTAGTAGGGCAGCCTTGCACTCACCAGCCACAACTGAGAATCATTGAAAGTTGAATGTACATGACAATCAGTGCGTAGCTCTAGGTATTGAAGCTGCGTAAGGGCATGGGAGATCAGTCCGAGTGAGTCATCCCCTTCACGTACATCGCACGTCAACACGACCGGTGCGGTTGAATGTAGAAACGAAAGTAGTTTGAGCGACAAAAGGTGGCAGGTAACACGACGCACCCGCACGGAAAGTGAGGGTGCCACCGATGCACCATATATGAAGAGGACTTCAAGGTGGTCCACGGATTCCCAGAGAAATGCGTCGCCCTTTTCTTTGAGAGCGACATGTAACGTTTCCACGTTAGGAAAGGCGTGAAAGGCATCGGGAAGAGGAATGGGTGATTCCAACGTCAGGCTGTGTACCGTTGGACACACGTACGTCTCGCACAGCCGTATTGACTGATGAAACCATGTTTGTAGGGAGAACTTTTCCATCGACGTTGGAATTTTACCCAGCAGCTCCACATCATCTGGTATCTGTTCATATCCGCTTTTGAAATTGATGGAGAGGCATCTAGGATGGCTGCATAACTGCGAGAGACACTGTAACGTGTGGCTTCCGGCCTCGCCCAGCGAGATGTCGCTTAGATGGGACAGCGAAGCAACGGCTGATGCAACAGCGGGCTCTGCGAGGAAGAGTTCATCGCTTGGGCCAATGTCTAGGTAGCTGAGAAAAGTAGCGTGCTGCAATACCGTTGCTAACAAGGGAGCGGAAGAGAAGTCCTGCTCTTCGCAAGAGTTATCTAACGCAAATGTCCACTGGTTGAGAGTGAGCGACCTCAGACACGGCCCCCAACGAGTAACGTCTTGCATCATAAATGAACAAAATCCAGCGATTTGAGTGGGGTGGCGTGGGGTTATGCCAGAACATCCGAGCGTGATTTTGGAAAGGAAGACAGGCATTGATATCGTGTAAGCTGTACGACAGGTTCGAACTAATTGGAGGATATCGTGGGGAGAAATGAGACCGAGGATGACTGCGAGCGAATCATTATCCAGAGTTTGAAGAAGAGACATAGTATCTTGTTATATCCAGAAGCTAAGTACAACGTTGGCAGCTGCCTATGCCAATACGGCATAAGCTATGATGGCGACAAGACTACAGCCCGACTTACTGTACAAACTCGGCGTATCCTTGGTCTGAGCCAAATATCGGTAATGCTTAGTCGTGGTCAATAGCAAGAGTTGTAAACGATTAATCGACAAACGAAACCGTATATCACTAACTGATACTGGAAGTCTGGAACGTCCGCGCTCCGCTGTGGGTACTCTTGCTAACTGCGGCACTTTCGGGTCTTCATTATTACAGCGACCTCAGTAAAGACAGACCGCCTTAACAGCAACGTCTCAGTAAAGATAGGCCGCTTAGACAGCAATCTCCGAGCCATTGATGTGCCGCCTTCGTGCCGCGGCACAAATGGAACACTGGCCCAGCCTAAGACTGATGGCGGCTTGATGGCGAAGGCGCGCGCTGACCAGATATGGCGGCGGGCCGCCTATTAAATCATGAAGCCACTGGGGAAAGCAGGAAATCAGTATGGCTCAATTTCATAGTGATGATGGATGAACCCGGCCCGTTTACTACTAGCACCGATGCCGCTCGTGCTCCATTGTATTTTCCCAAGGACCTAAGAGCGGCAACAAGGTGGCACCTCAATGCTGGAGAGGAGTGTATAGATTTCTGGAGAAACCTCCAGCTATCGTCGCCACGGACAGTGCCCCCCAGGTCGAGCGTTGAACATGGTGTACATATCAGTTACTGAGCACACTACAACGGACCGTTGGCACGCGATTAAACGAATTCATCGAACAGAACGCGTGCACCAACGCCCGGAGATAGTGATTGCTCGTCATCGTGGTGCCCGAACCCCCTGTGAAGACGCTCAAAGTCGACTTTGTCGTCTTGGCATGTAAGGCTCCCGTGACAGTCTTCAAACTCCTCGCCGTGGTGCCCGACATGTTGGTCACGAAAACACTCATGGTGGGGGTGAAGGTCGTCGGCACCCAGCCGAGCACCGACCAACATTCGAAGATAAAGATACACCGTCGTGAGTGCGCAAGCCATCCTCGCTGCGAATGAGCCTTCGTTTCCAAAGACGGCCGAATTGAAACATACCGCTTCCCGTACCTAACATAGCCATTCTGAACCCCATAGCCCTAGCCCCGCTTTCCATGCCTAACATAATCACTCCGAGCTCCAGAGCCCCGACTTCGTGTCTCATGACCACTGCCATTGCTACTCCCGCCCTGCTCGCCGTGAGCCCTTGGATCGCATGTGGACAGGTACACGGGCTTATGAGGAGGGTTGTCGGCCCTGAGCTGTTTTGTTAGTGCCCTCAAGAATTTTGCCGCCAACGAGCACGGTTCCCGGCGGCATACGGTGGATAAGACCAAACTGGCTTTGACTTCTTGAGAGGAAAGGCCGCTATAATAAGGCGTGTGATCAGCGCTGTAGCATTGTCGATAGTTGTCAATCGCCTATCCAGACGTGAAATGACCGCGCACACACTTGACCAAGACTGGCGTGGAGACAGCGGCAGCAATAATGATGACGGTGGCACGCATGGTGAAATGAGTCCCGAGCAGAAGACGTGGAGACGTGATCATGCGATTTGAATTTCAAGCGTCCTCATAAAGAAAAGGCGAAAATGAAAGTAGCAAATCAGCTAAAGAGCAGATGATACTAAGCTCATGTATAGTTCGAAGTTATAGGCGCCGGATACTTACTATCCTGTACTTGAAGCTGAAGCTTTGTTAAACATGCCACATAAGTCAACTGAGGGCTACACAGCACGGTATAGAGTCTCGAGATTACCTGGAAGAATGCATTTCGCATACGCGTGTATCCAAGGCAAAGCGTCGGCCTCACGCCTCAGGGGTCAGCCCGCCAGTGTCCAAACTTGAAAGGCCTATTTGAAGAAGTAAAAAATTATAAACATTGCTGAAAGCACTTCTTTGTCGCCTCTTCCTTCCAGATCTGCTGGACCCGTGCTGTGACGCAACACGCGGTGACGGTCATACTTAGCTACCAATTCAGTCTATATAGACGTCTCTTAAGACCACGTACTATCCTACACGTCGGAACAAGTGAGAAATACGATTTTTGTCAAGAACAACCACGACTTACCTCTCTAAGATGTCTTATACTTCTAAGCGCATGCGATGAGATCATCTTTGAGAACACTCCAAAGGGTTGATCATTCGATTGATCCACCGCCACATGTCTGGCACGATAATGAAACACCGCCGGAAAGCATAATCTAACTGGCGCAATACAGTATGAGGTTGCTCCATGATTAAATCTTCATCATGGGCTGATTCGTGGCGCGTATGCCAGTGCCGCACGCACAACGCAGGTCTACATGAAGCTCGTGCGGCTGAAAGCCCGTGATAAACTAGAAGCGCTCCGTAGAAACCAACACCAAAATATCTTGTCAGCCTACTGTATGCGCGTGCAGCGTGGCGCTTGATCCGGAACCCATGATCTCGGTTTCTATCTCTTGAGAATAACAGAATGACCTACTATTTAGTCCCAGTTTCGTTCTACCGGAGACAGGGATTTTAGGGCGCCTGGAACAACTTTCTTAAATAGAGTGAAGTTGGGAGAGAAGTTTGGACCTGACAGGGATGGTACGTGTAGTGTACTGCGGGCAAAATTGTCAACATTATGTCGCGACTTAGTCTTACTATCGTTCTAGCAAATAGCATACAACAAATAAGCTTCGGCTCTGACAGATCTTAACCCCATCCTAATCCTAAATAGTATGGGACGCTGAGAATGGTTTGGTCAAGGTAGATCATGTATCATGATGATGATAGTACAGTACATAAAGACTCTTTGATTAAAATTCAACGATTTGCAGCCGGATATTGTCGGGCATTATGCATTGTGTCTGCCGCAAAAACAATTCGCAGATTTTGCGAATGGCCGAACTACTCTTCCCCCCCCGCATTTGTATCCGTTGCCGGGTTTGTCCCTATGTCGGATAGTATCTATTGCTAGGCAATAACATAGTAGAATGTGTCTGAGGCAGGCTGTATATGTAGGTGGAGGAGCGCTGTATAATTGAGTTTGACGCCATCTGCACCATTGTCTTTGTGAACTGGCCGGTCTGTGTGTCGCAATGTGAGGGCATGGATGAGGGTGGAAGCGCTACTGTATGGACAGATTTAGAGGTGTGCAAGTAAGGATTTATTGACAGTATATGACTCGATGTGAGGGAGGAAAGGGGGTACCTGAGAGGGGGAGGGAGATCGAAGGTCCGGAGGGAAGAGAAACCAGACTATCTGACTCCACATGTGTAGGTGAATTTCTCAAGACTTTGCACATTAACTCATAGCATCGTGGACGACCTTTTGTGGTCACTATATTTTGCTCACTGATCAGTCTGACATACTATTGACAGTCTTGCCCTGAGGGCTATCCTGGAGGTACCATCCTAAGTTCCATACACTTTGAATCACGATATTACCTCGATACACGTAGTAACGTCTTGGAAATCCAGTTCACACCGCGCCTCGCTAATGAGTCACCATAGGATAATGCATTTCGCCCACCGTCACATCTTTCAGCGGGGGATCGCTATACAAAATGATCATATGTGACTGCCGCACATCGAGAAATGATATCATTCATGTGAACAAAAGGTGCGAAGATGGCGTCCTCCTACACAACGTCTAAAAGGTGGTCTCCGTACGAGAGATTTCGGCAAGGTGCAGCCTACGTAAGGGCCGTTCCGGCTTGTTGTCTACGAGAGACATTGTCAAACTGTGACCGCGAGTGAACAATCAGGACAGTCTCCTCGCTGCACAAATGCAGAAAGGAACACTGGAGGATGACACTGAAGTGGGGAAGAGGACATTCGCGCAATGGCCATCCATCGCGTCTTTTTCCGCTTTCTTGGGGATAGTGCGTAGTCCCGTTAAATCCACACAACGAATCTAGGCGAAAAATTCCAAGCGATTTGCTCGTGCAGGAAAGCGAACGCAGCTGCAGCGATATTCGAAGGCGATGGGCCCGGTACAGTCACACGCAAGATCACATCCATGGACTTCGCACCGGGCAATGCAGAATTGCGGAGGATATCCATGTGTGAGACGACGGTACAGATTTACACTGAACACGACGGCTTGGGCAAGAATTGCGTGTTTTGGCGTATGTGGACCACTCCGACGGAGGTATCCCCACGCAGTCGCGCCACCGATGGGACATCGGAGGCAGGGAAGACGGCACGTACGCCACAGTCGAAGCGGAGGCGGAGTCTGCCTGCATTCCGGGCACCAGGCTGTGTGGCGAGATCCGAGTAATGAGTGGTTAGAGTGGAGTAGACCAATAAGAGACGGGGAACGTACTTTAAAGCAGCGCGTGCGTGAAATCAACCAGCGTCTGGACACCAATATGTACGCAGTCTGACGCCTTTGAATTGGTAGAAGAATGATGCACACAGCCGTGGAGAGGACATTGATCTCTTGAGGCGGCCAACGGCAGCGTCAGCTGGTTATAAGCCAGGCTCAGCCTGGCCTCGTTCGCAGGGAGGCCGGCAACGTTCCTCGCGGTGCTTCACGTGTGCCGCGAGCAGCGTGAAACTCGTCGCCTAGGCTGTCAGCTGGCACACCTGCGCGGGGACGGCACTGGGACGATGGGGAGGAGAAACGGTTAGTCCTGCAGTGACAGTCGCACAAGGAGGCCATCGACGTGCCTCATGACAGGGGTCGCGCGCAATTTTGCGTGATGCGGCGCCATATAACACGCACGAGTGGGCCAGGGACGCGTAAGTGCCTCTTGCCTCTGCCCTCTTTCACTGACCTTCATCCGCTCGACTCTGAGTTGACCACAGCAACTACCGCTCGACGCTGCGTGCTATCGCATGGCGGGAAGAAGCGCCTCTCTTGCCCGGCGGCTATGGCACCAAGACTCTCCACCTCGACTCGACGGGGCGCGGACGGGCGAGGACGGGGAAGACGAGCTGGACGAGGTGGACTCGCTGAGGAAGTGGATGGGCGAAGGTGAGTAGCCTCGCGGCAGGGCGAAGCGAGTGTTTCCGGCGCGCGATAAGCCTTATCGGAGGCCGGACGGTGGACCCCACCGACTCAAGATTCGGAAATCTGACAAGTATGTCATGGCAATCTCCTGCCAGGGGCTCCGTCCCAGCCAGTCCCAGCCTCGCCTCCTCGAAACACTCTTATCGTCTCCCTTCATCTCCCCTCCTCTTTTCTTCTCTCGCCCTTGTCGCGTACTCACCCCTCCGCTCTCTGCACACCTCACACCCATGGCAGACGCGGTCGACTCAGAACCCGCTCTCAATGCCTCTCGTTCCGTCTCTCGCGGGAGGGAATTCGTGAGTACTGCCTCTTCGTCGTCCTTCCCATCTGTCCTGACTGGTGTGCTCGCAGCACTCCTCGGGCAGAGGCGGCGTGGGCAACATCCGGCGAACCTCCAAGGATCCCGCCTCTCCCCCTTCTCCCGCATCCCCTGGCTCCGACCGCGACTTCTCAGTCACCCGCGGCCGCGAACCGGCCCCCTCTTCAGACAGAGTAGGCTGCTTCGCACACTCTAGCTGGTTCTAGCATATCTCACCCGCCTTGCCCGACCCAGGTTCTCACTACCGGCCGCGGAGGTGTAGGCAACATCCGCTCCGGGTCTGCTGCGCGCTCCGTCTCTCGCGCCAGCGCGGAGAGCCATCCCAAGACAGCGTCCCTCCTCGCGGACATGGCGCACCAGGAGGCCGAGTACGAGCGCGGTCTGTTGAGACTGAGCGAGGAAGCCGCCCGCGCGGGCAAGGTACGTGTGGTGCGGTCCCTGAACGCACGTATGTCGACTGAACACTGCCTCCAGCACTCATCTGGACGTGGCGGTGTGGGTAACATCAAGTCACAGTCGAAGTCGAAGTCGAAGACCCGCACAAACTCACGCAACAAGGACGGCTTGCGTTCGCCGTCCCGCGGGCCCGTTCATTCCTCCGGACGAGGAGGAGCAGGCAATGTCGTTGCAGGCTCCACCGAAGATGCGGAATACAATGAAGAGCTTGATAACGAAGAAATGGAGAGGGCAAAGGCACACCACCCCGAGGGCATGTGCGTATCTGCAAGGCGCTTTTTCGTTGACCGCAACTCACAATGCGTCCTAACTTGGTCAGGCACTCCACTGGGCGCGGCGGCCGCGCAAACTTGACGTCTTTGACCACCCAGACGCCATCTCCTCCCCTCAGCCAACCAGGCACGCCAACGCACCCTCACCCACACAATATCGAGTCGACGGGGCGCGGGGGAGCGGGCAACATCTTCCGGTCGCGCTCGCGCAGCGCATCAAAGGATCGCGGACACGGGCTGGGGGACATCTGGAAGCGCGTCGCACACTCACGGACGCGTACTGATAAAGACAAATCGCACGCGCCGCCCTCGCCAACTGGTATGCACGGCGCAGAGTCTCCCAAACCTGGGTC